AGATAGACACTAAAAATGCGATCAGGTTGGAGTAGCAAGATAGTGCCCCAAAATATATGTGTGTACATATATATCTATAAAGATATATCGGGGCCTCCCTGGTGGCGCAGCGGTTGAGCGCTGGGTTGCAAAGCTGCCCGCGGCCTCTGCGGTGCCGGTTCAATCCCCGGCTGCTCCCCAGCCACTGGAGGAGGGTCCCACATGGCGCGCAGACCTCTCCTGCCGCCCGCTGCTCCCCTCTGCAGTGTACTTCGGTCCTTCTACCTACTCTGCTCCCCGCTTTGGCTCTGGTGAATTCTCTCACCCTCCCGCGCTTCTGACTGTACCCAGTGCATGTATAAACAAAACAAAACAAACAAACAAACAAATAAATAAATAAAACGTGCCTCTATAAAAAAAAAAGAAGATATAGATATAGATATATAGATATACAATGGGATACTACTCAATGATCAAAAAAGAAACTCGAGTCCTATGTGGGAGGATGGCTAGAATTGGAAGGAATTATCCTAGGTGAAATAAGCCAGAAGGAGAAAGATAAGTACTAAATGGTTTTACCTACATGTGTAATATAGAGAAGCTAAACAAAGGATCATTGAAACAAATTTTAAAATCAAACTTGAGAGCTGACCATAGATCTGAGGTATTGGGGTGGAGGGGAAGTAGGGAGGATGAGGGAAGAAAACGGGGGAAGAAAGCACAATGGACTATGGTAGAAAAGTATAGGTGTTTTGGTGGTGGGAAAACTACGGTGACCATACCTGAGAGAAAAAATCCTGTGTTTCTTCATAAAATGATATATCATTAATAATTTAAAAAAAATCATTAAAAATATTTGAAAAAAGAAAAAAATCACTGTGGTAACAGACTCCAAAATTATAAAGCACCATGAAGAACTGAGAAGGAAAGATAATAGATTTTTATTGATTCAAGATGAAATTTGAGCAGTGTATTTGAGAGTTTAGTTGCCTGCTGATACTGTAAAGCACAACATACTAAAAAATGAAAGGATTAAAAACTCAGTATAAGAAAGAACTGATTCATTATTTTAAGACCATCATCAATAACACTGGGTAAAGCTGAGATTTCTGAGATTTTTATTTTAAATTTAATTGTGATGAAATCTATATGATGGACATCCTTATAAACACTGAATATGTCTATTACTTCTTTCAAAAAGGGAAGCTAAATTAGGGCAAACAAAACAAAAACCACAGGCCACTAAACTACTTTCTTATTTATCCAGGAGGCCCAAAACTTTCCAAAGTTTCATACATATATATTTAGGAAAATTTATTTTTTAAAGAGCCAAAGTGGATTCTATATTCTTCTATCCTTGTTGCTTTAAAAACAAGATTAGGATGATGGGCTAAGCATTAAAACCTGCTTCTGTTCCAAATCTCTAGAAATGATAGAAAAGATATTCTCATGAAAAATTCCTAAATGGTGCTGAAGAGCCATTATACATCTCAAATAATCCAGTAATTTCTGAAAGCCTAAAACTTGAAAGATCATAATATTGAAAGAAAATCACATGGAGAGTAAATAGCTACTAGAGGCAGAAACAGTCATTGGGGCTACTTGATTATAAAAGGCAAAGATGATTTAGTAGCAGCTTTAGGGCAATTGTTAAAGATTGGTTAGAAAACACTACCAGAAACACTTGACTATATTACCCTTTAACACAGGATTGGTAGATTACAGAGCATATCTGCCTCCAGTTTGAAGTGAAGAAGATAGGTTTGGGTTGGAGTAGCAAGACAATGCCCCAAATTTGGTTAACATTCCTCTATATACCCATGAAGTTTAATTTCAACAGGATTAAACCAAAGACACCCACCAAGATACACCATAATTAAGCTGCTGAAAGTTTCTCTCTCATACACACACAATCTTTGAAGCAATAAAAAATATCAAGTACAAAAAAACAACAATACAATGATTTCTCATCAGAAACAAGAGTCCAGGAGGCACTGGAATGCCATACTCCCAAATACTAAATGAAAAACCTGTCAGTCAATTCTATAACCAGCAAAATTAGTTATGCATCACATAATGTTGTTTTGGTCAGTGACAGGACAGTATCTATGACTGTGGTCCCTATATATAGCTGAGGTGTGCAGTAGGCTATACCATTTAGGTTTGTGTAAGTACACACTACAGTGTTTGCACAAGGATAAAATCACCTAATAACATATGTCTCAGATTGTATACCTGTAGTTAAATGACATGATTTTATCCTTTGTTTATCCCAGATAAACAAAAACTGGGAAAGTTGAGAGAAAATGACATAATGTAATTTGAATTCAGAGATACGCCTTTTCTCTTTTTGCCTTAATTTCTTTGAAAATCTTAAGTTTACAAAAATAAACATAATACTGTTTATATGCTGGATTAAGTCTATATAGGCATAATTAATATATGATAATACTAGTTGGAAAGAGGAAAATACAATTACATTAGAAGAAAGTTGTTAGATTTCTGTCAATCTTAGGTCTATTAACCTGAGGTAGATAAGTAAAAGTATAATCTGTTATTTCTGGAGCAGCCATTAAGAATATAACTGAAAAATACATAACTAAAAAACCAACACTGGAATTAATTAAAATGACACACTAAACATATTTAAGACCAAACAAAGTAACAATGGAGGAAAAAGGAACAAAGACACAAAACACACATAAGATATAGTGAAAGAGCAGACACAAAGCCAATCATTTAAAAAATTGCATTTACATATAAATGGTCTAAACACTGCCATCAAAGACAGAAAAGATAAGGCTACATAAAAAAAAGCAAGCTGTAATAAGATGCTTAAGAGATTGAAAATAAAATTCTGAGAAAAGTATATTATGTGAATAGCAACTACAGGAGTGTTTAGAATAATCAGGCTTTCACACAAGAAATATTACAGAGACAAAATAATAATGAACAGGTCAATGAAGATGTAACAATCACATATCTATATAAATATTTTTAGAGATAAAATGATAAAGAAAAGGTGAGATTTATTATGGTCATAATAGTCCAAAGGTAAGAATATCAGAATTGAAACAATATTTAAGAAGACTCTCTTGAAATGAAAGAAACTGCACGATGAAAAGGTTTACTATAGTCTAGGAAAACTGATCATAAAAGGATATACTCTAGTAAAGGTAACTGCATTTCCAATGTAAACCCTTTGAGCAGCCAGACAAAATGATCATATCACATAAAAGAAGAAAGAAAGAAAAGTTACCATAGTATTTAGTAATAGAAGACAACAGAAGAATTTCCACAAGGCACTCAAAGAAAGTCTTCAGACTCTTAAGCATAAAGGATATGAACACTAAGCTCTAAACATCTAGCAAGGAGTATTTTTTCCATGAAGCCTCTTGACTAAACTCAGAAAGTTAAATTGAGTCAGCTAAGAGATGATGAGAAATTACAGCAAAAAGGCTGATGATGAGCACTGAGAATCTGCACAGGCAACATCAAATAGAAATGTTACATATTCTCGTAACAGATAGTATAATTAACAAAAATTATGAAGGGAAAATGGGAAGAGGATGAATGACCCTGTTTAAAATGAAGCCAAAGCATATTGCTTAAAACTGATAAATCTAAATTAAAAATGTATATACATATTTACTACTACTAAACATTAAGATAGTAAACAAACACTAAAAACAGAATAAACCAGTACCTAACTCAGTCAAGTAAAAAAGGCAGAAAGAACCAGTAATAAAAATATTTAAAATGTAAGATAATGAAGACACCAGGAAAATTAAAAAAAATCACACACCATTTGTTTAACTCTTTGTAAATAAATTATAAAGCTAGTGAATACTGCTAAACCTTTAATGAACAAGTAAATCTGATGCTAGCTAACTATTCCCAGCATTGAAAAAAAGGGAAAGTTCCAAATTCTTTGTGGAGAGACTTTAAAACTGATTTCAAAGCCCAACCAAATTATGTTAAAAAGGAAAATTATATACCGTTTGACTTATGAATAGTGAAACAAAAGTCCTTTAAAACTTACCAAGTGGAATCCACATTAAGAAAATATTTTTGAGTGAATAGTTTCTTCCAGAAATTTAGAAAGATTCAATAGTGGGAAATTTTATAATTAAATTAGATCTCAGGGTAAAAAACCACACAATCATCCTTACATGAAAAAGCATGACAAAATCCAACATATTGATAGATATAATAAAAATGGAAATGAAGGCTATTTTAACATGATAAATGATAGGTTATCACAGATTTATCCCTGAGTCAAAGTAAGGAATACGGCAGATGTCCTCCTTTTCTACATCAATTAACGTTGTAGTGAAGTACTGGGACAAATGAAAAGTGTACTAGGTTTCAAAATCACATCTATCTTCCTAAATTTAACATGTTCTGCTTTCTTTATCTGATTTTTATATGAAGGAAAAAAAATCCAGTATCAGAACATTCTGAAATTAGAGCTTTGAGGAGGGCCTGCTTTAACAGATATTAACGAACACAAAAGTCTTCTGTAATTAAAACAGTATGGTAAAGGTATGCGAACAGACAGCACAAGTCACTTTGTTTTCCCTGATCCCAGGCCTGGCATATAGTAGAGGCTCAATAAATGTTTACTGAATGAATTTCTTAATTGATGACTTTTATACTCAGCCAGAAATATGAAAATTATTTTTATAAAATTAATGATTTAAAACAGCCTAGACAAAGAGGTAATCTGACTTCTGTTCCTAAAATTAGTGAGAGTGGAAACTAAGTTATTTCTAGATGTTTCAATAGAGGGCAGGGCTAGAAAGCATAAATTGTACAGCATGAGTAGATAACTTTAATAAACTCAAACTCACAGGAATGTCTTGTCTGTTGATGAAAGGAAATCCAGTATGGGAAATAAAGTTAGCACTGTAATCTTTAAAATCAAAGGACAATATGTATAATTAGGGATGTGATAAAGATTTATTCATTGGAGGCTTATACATAATTAAAGTGTACAGTCAAAAGAAATTTGAATTTACCTTCTACCATATTACCATCCTTCTGAAAAATTCGCTCTTCACACCACTGACAGTGGATCAGGTATTGAATCTTCTTGGCTGTTTCATCTGCAGAAGTGGGGCCCCTCAAAACTCTCACAACTACCAACACAAAATGCTCCAGAGCCACTGCAAATAGCACTTCGATGCCTTTGTTACATCGGGCAGCAGCTCTGAAAACAAAATTTTTGAAGTTATTTCGGAGGCTTATAATTTCCCTTTGTCATTATATTGATAACACTAACCTGCATAGTCAAGTATGGGTGGGTGATAGGAAAATTCAATTCTTACAGCACTGCTTTTGAAAGAACGTTACTCTAACTTCTACACAAACTGAAACACAGGAAATAAAGTTTGTATGGGTCTCCATTTATGATGATAGCCTCTCAAGAGCACTACATTCTTTAGTTTTCAGTATGAGACCTTATTTCTTGTCATCACCACTACTTTTCTTATCTTTTTTTTTGAAATAAAAGATTCTTCCCAATAATATGAATTTACTGAGCATTTACTACATGCCGATTATAGTGTGTTAGTTGCTGAGTATTCAGTGAAAGATGAATATGTGAAGTTTTTGCCATTATTAATTTTAGACTTCTGGATTAAATTCTACTCAATACAGCATTTAGGTGCTTCATTTTCCCTCTGCAGTTATACATGCATATAAATGTATATGAATTTGAAATTGCTGATATTGTATTATTAAGATTCTTATGTGTGTATAGTAGGTACTATAGCAAGTACAAACTGAACACCAGAGTTTTCATTTAATTAGGAATACACCCCCAGAGGCCTATAAAGTCTAATAATCTGTATTTATGGTAGGAAGATAAGGTAGGAATTTGAATCTAAATGTCATGAAACTAGCATTGAGTTTTGTGAATAAGCTGTTTGACCATCCATTACATACATATATTCTGAGCATCCACTTATATATTCTTCTAGTATATCATTTTATATAAAATGGTACTTAATAAGTTCTCCTTTCTTTGTTTAGAAATCCTGGTAAGAGAATATTTTGTTTGTAGGTAAGATCATTTCACAGAACCAAGTTCATAAGCTATCATTTTATTCAAACTGTAAACAAAGAAGATGAAGTAGACATAAAGCAAATAACTGTTTCTAAATCTAAAAACAAATTTTGACTCCCTTTTCATGGTGCTAGTCCATGTGTACCCTATACTGCTGAAAAAAACTAATTTGAAATTACTTTCATTTTTATTTTTTCTTACATTATTTCAATAACATTTTAAATTGCAAACTAGTTCAAACATAAATTTTTGCATCAAATTATAAGATACAACATTAAGACTGACAAACAAAATTATAGAAATATAATGTAGAATTTGTATTTCATTCATATTTTGAAAAATGAAATAAGCACTTGTTATAATATCTTTTTTTTAAAATCATATATCAAACATATTAGGTAAACTGTAGGTGATTTGGTACCTTGCCACTGCAGCTACAACAATTCTGGCTGCCAGCTCCTTGTAATATTCAGTTCGGACAATATTACAGCCATAGTGGCGCCGGGCAACATGTTGTGCCTTGGCATATAAAGAACTGATATCCGTAGAAGTCACTGACACTATGCCAAGGTTTCTTATATTTCTGAACGCAGAATCTAGATAGTTCACTGATGTTCCAAAAGGGTCTAGGTGTCTAAAATCAGAAAGAATATAGACATCAAAATCACACTAATAACCAAAATTATACTATACTAGCATAATTATATTATTTCTAATGATAAGCTTCCATGTATTTAAAGCACTTTCTAAATCGATTTTAAATGGATAATTTGGTTTTCAAAGTAAGTACTAAAATGTCATATAATCTCAGGCATGTAAACATTAACTAGATTTAGAGGAAAACTGTCAAGCCCAGGCATTTTATTATAATTGCTAGAAAAAATTCTTACTGCTTTTCTTAGGCTAATGCCAAAAAACACCAATTGTATTAATTTAAACCAACAACAAGGCTTTCCTGGTGGCACAAGGGCTTAAGTCTCAGCACTATGAAGCAGCTGCTGTGGCATGAGTTTGATCCCCAGCCATGGAGCTAACCCTCATGGTACAGCAGCCCTCTCCTGTCTTGCCCTCTGCTCCCCTCAGCAGCGTATGTCAGTCAATCCACCTGTTCTGCTCCTCACTCTGTCTCTGGTGAATCCTTTCACCCCGCTCCACCTCTGGCCTACACCCCAGTTCTTGTATGCAATTAAAAACTTAATTTTTAACCTCCCACCCACACCCCCACCCACTTACGGCCCCCACCCACTTCCAGGTCAGTTTAGAAAGCAACATAGAACTTTTTTTTTTGCACTTACATAAAATCAAAAGATCTCAAATGCATCAGTACATTGGCATCCATTTTGGTCACCTTAATATTACCAAAGTTTTCCTCTCCTCTGTCAAGATTATCATCGCTTTCTTCCTTCTCTTTATTGTCTATCACCACTTTCAATTTGTTTAAATGGCAGTTTTCCTGAATCAATGTCACAGAGTTTTCATTCAAGTCATTAATTGTAACCTTCACTGCATTTCCAAGATGTTTTGCCCATTGTAATCCCATTATCCCTTAGGAGAAAAGAGGAGGGAAATGAGTTTTTAAATTGTAATAATTAAAGTTTAATAATAAAGAATATACTTTTATATGTAACAAAAACAATTTCAAAATCCTAATATTTGCATAAATAATTCTTATTCTCCTTTCTCATTACAAAGTCCAGAAAGAAAAGTTACCACAAAAAAGTGTCTAACCAATTTTCATAAACACTTCTTATAAAACTTTTTTTATGAACCCTCTTTAAATAATTTCCATGTATGTTCTTTATTTGTGGAACAGCAAATTTTTCTTACATGAGAGTGGAGCTTCTCTGTTTGATGGGAGGAGGGGTACCTGAATTCTTTATGCTGAAGTTTACCCTCATGCACCAAAATATGAAAACCACTGTCTTCAACCAACTCTTTCCAAACAACAGCATCATTGTGAAGATAAAGAAGGTAATTTTGCATATGTAAGCAAATGGTCAAAAATTCAGAAAAAGAAAAATCTTTTCTCAAGGTTTTTCATACCTACTATATTAGAAGTGTAGGGAAATTTATTACAAAATGAGAGATGATGATGCAAGCCTTGCTAATGTAGATTAGAAAAACCTCTATGTACTAGAAGCATTGACTACTTTCTTCAAACACATGCCTTCATAAGTGTAAAAAAAAAAGTAAAAAATATAAACATCTACTATGTGCCAGGGATTTTATATATACTTTCATATTTTCATAACATATTTGTGAAATAAGTTCTAATGTGTATGTTTTAGAGATGGGGAAACATGCAAAATAAATGCTATGAGTCTAATACAGGTTCACAAAGATGCAATAGAAAGAAAAGGCTGAAAAGATCTTAGACTATTAGCTTTAATGATTTCGGATGAAAAAATGAACAGTTCATTGCAATATTATTTATGATAATCAAGACATGGAAACAGTGTAAGCATCCAATGACAGATAATGACAATGGAACATTACTCAGTCATAAAAAAGGAAATCCTGCTATAGGCAACAACATGGATGGATCTTGCGAGTACTATGCTAAGTGAAATAAGCAAGACAGAGAAGATAAACAGTATGATTTCATTTATATATGAAAAAATCCACACTTTTAGGGACAAAAGTGGTAGCCAGAAATGGGAGAGTGAAAGGTAAAGGAACTGAATGAAGGCACAAACTTCCAGCTATAAAATAACTAAGTTCTTAGATGTAATATATAGTTAACAACAATGAACTCTTTACTTGAAAGTTGCTGAAAGAGCAACTTAAAAGTTCTCATCAAAAGGAAACAAAACTCTAACTATGTGAGATCATGGATAGTAACTAAAATTTTTATGGTAATCATTTTATAATCATTATGGTAATCATTATGTTGTAGACCATGAACTTATATAATGTTACATGTCATTTATATTTTAATAAAACTGGAGGGAAAAAATGACTGTACTATTAAGAAAAATATAGTGTTTAGTTTAGGATAGACATTTAATAAAATTATTGAATGTAAAATAAAAGAAAAAGAGAATAGGAAAAAGGTGTTGTGTGAACCAGAAAATAAATTTGAACAGTGGGTCTTCCTGGTGGCCCAGGTGTTAAGTCTCAGCACTATCACCAGAATGGCCTGAGTTTGATCCCTAGCCAGGGAGTGAACCCACATGGTGCAGCAGACCTATCCTGTCTTGCCCACTGCTCCCCTTAGCAGTGTATTTCAGCTGATCTATCTGATCTGTCGCTGGATTCATTCTGTCTCTGGTGAATCCTCTCACTACCCACAACTCTGGCCTACACCCTAGGACTTCTATGCAAAAATAAATAAAAAGAAATCTTAAATAAAGTTACCTTAAAAAAATAAATTTGGAAAAGCATGTTGGGCTCAGAATACGGTAAACTGCAGACTGAAAAATTTTGACTCTATTTAAGCAATAAAGGTATATGATTTTTTCAATTGAGAAACAATATTATCAATGTAGTGTTGTTTGACAACAGCATGTAAGACAGACTGGAGGGGAGAGAAATAATTACCATAAAATCACTGAAGTGGTGGATATGGAATGAAAAGAGTATCAGTAACATTACAACAGGAAAATGAGAACAGATCTGGTGGCTGAGTGAATGTGGGGACACTGGAGGGAAAAGGAGTGAAAAAAAAAGTCAAATTTGAGTGGCTCAGACAATATGATTAACTTATAATCATCATTTTTACTATATTTACAATAAAACATTACTAATGATGATGACAAAAGTAATGATATTACAATAATGATATGTAATACTTCTATAGCATTTGCTATATGCCAGGTACTGTTCTAATTTCTTTACATATATTAATTTACTTAACTTCACATTATTTTAAGATAGGCACTAAAGCTCCCTTTTGACAGATGAAGAAACTGAAGCACAATTTCTGTGATCCCATAACTGGAATGTGAATAAGCTAGAATTTGAATCTAGGTAGTCTGGCTTCATAGTCCATGCTTTTAATTGCTATTTTTGGCTGAGAAGAACTTAAGGAGAACTAACTTATGAATTCATTCTTTTATTACAAACTTCCCAAGAACACTCTCCTACAACCTTTAAGAAGAAAGACTTAGGGGACCTCCCTGGTGGCACAAGGGGTTAAGATGCAACCTATGAAGCTATCCGCAGCCACTGCAGCATGAGTTCGATCCCCAGCCAGGGAGATACTCACATGCTGGAGTAGACTTCTCCTGATTCACCCGCTGCTCCCTTCAGGAGTGTACTTCAGTCAATCTGCCTGTTCTGCTCCCCACTCTGTCTCTGGTGAATCCTCTCACCCCCCACACCTCTGGCCTATACCCCAGATAATAGAATTTTTTTTTAAATAAATAAATCTTTAAAAAAAAAAGAAGACAGACAGACTTAGGATTGGTTATAAGTGGCTTTCTAGAAATTTCCTGTTTTTTCCATTATCTTTTCTCTGGTATTAGAATATTTTGGGAAAAATGTTCTCAATCTTTAATTGCAGTATAAAAAAGTATTCTTTTTACCACAAGCCAAAAAAAAACCTATCTGAATTTGACCAAGCTTGACGATTCAACTGACAATTTACAGATATATAGGAAAAGGAGAATATACCACATGAATCATTATACAACTAGCAAAATCTGGACTTTGGGACACTCTTTAAAACAAATGACTGTTGGGGCTTCCCCGGTGGCGCAGCGGTTGAGCGCTGGGTTGCGAAGCTGCCCGCGGCCTGCCGCGCCGGTTCGATCCCCGGCTGCTCCCCGGCCACCGGAGGAGGGTCCCACATGGCACGCAGACCTCTCCTGCCGCCCGCTGCTCCCCTCAGCAGTGTACTTCGGTCCTTCTGCCTGCTCTGCTCCCCGCTCTGGCTCTGGTGAATTCTCTCACCCTCCCGCGCTTCTGACTGTACCCAGTGCATGTATAAACGAACGAACAAACAAACAAACAAATAAATAAATAAATAAAACATGCCTCTATAAAAAAAAAAAAAAATAAATAAATAAATAAATAAAAAAAACATAAAACAAATGACTGTTATGTTCAACAAATAATTACCAGATAACCACACAAAATATGGAAAGGAATACAGATTAAAAGAGATTTTTGAAACATATCATACAATTGAAATTGAAACATATAATCTTTGCCTGGATTTTGACTTGAGTTAAAAAAATTATGATATAATTGGGTATACCTAAACATATAATTTTAAAGAATTAGTCTTAATTTTTTTAGATATGATAATAGAATTTTTTTTTAAAGACCTCATCTTATAGGGATTCAACTGAAATATTTATAGATAAAATGATGTATCTGTAATTTATTTAAAAATAATGGGATAGGACCTTCCCTGGTGGCGCAGTGGTTGAGCGCTGGGCTGCAAGGCAGCCCTGCCACCGGCGAGGGTCCCACATGGTGTGACAGACCTCTCATGCCGCGCCCATTGCTCCCCTCAGCAGTGTATTTTGTCTGTCTGCCTGTTCTGCTCCCCGCTTTGGCTCTGGTGAATTCTCTCACCCTCCGGCACTTCTGACTATACCCAGTGCTTGTATAAATAAATAAATCTTTTAAAAAATAAAAAAAATAAAAATAATGTGATAGAGACGGGGGAGTGAAGTATGAGGAAAGGTGCCTGTGGATACAGGTACAGAAAGAATGATCGTGAGTTGATTGTTTCTGAAGAGACTATTGGATACACAGGGATTCATTTACTATACTATATTTTTGCATATATTTGAAATATTTCCACAATAAAAAATTTATACTAGATCTTTAATTTTTATATAAAATGTTCTGCAGGATATATCATATTTTCTAAGAAATGATACTGTGCATATCTGACAAAATGGGGTCCCAAAAAAGCTTCATTACTTACCAGTTGCTCCAAAGGCATCTAGACATTCCAAAGGTTTTCGCTCCTCAGTCAAAGCTGCCAACGTACAAAATATTAGCTGCCTAGAAGAAAGTATAATAATCTGAAATAATTTAATTGTACCATGGCTTCATCATTGTACATTTCATTTTATTTAAGAAAATGAGAATAAGGGCCTCCCTGGTAGCGCAAGGGGTTCAACACCACACTATGAAGCAATCCGCTGTCTTTGCAGCACGAGTTCGATCCCTGGCCAGCCAGGGAGCAACCCACATGGTGAAGCAGACCTCTCCTGCCCCGCCCGCTGCTCCCCTCAGCAGTGTATTTCAGTCACTCTGCCTGTTCTATTCCCCACTTCGTCTCTGGTGAATTCTCTCACCCCCTGCATCTTCGGCCTGTAGCTCTTGTATGCACAAATATTTTTTTTTTAAAAAAGAAAATGACAATACTTAAAAGTAGTTTGAACTGGGGTACCTATTTATAGTACAAACAACACATCCACACTGTGGGGTGATGCACTCTAATTCCACAGGGATGTAAACTCCTGTACCTGGTAATCTCCCAGCCCTGGCCCTCTGTATCACTTCATCTGTTCATCCGTATCTTTTATCATATCCTTTAATCATTGGTAAATATAAGTGTTTTCCTGAGTTCTGTGAATTGCTCTAGCAAATTTTTGAACCCAAGGAGGATTCTTGGAACCTCTGATCTCTAGTCATTGGGGCAGAATCACAAGTGATAGCCTGGGCTTGAAACTGGCACCTGAAGTGTGTATGGGGTCTTGGAGTATGAAAGTCTTATGGGACCGAGCCATTTACTCTGAGATCTGATCCTATCTTCAGGTAGGAAACCTAGCTGGTATCACAGAGAAATGCTTGGTGTGGGGAAGAAAACCTCTACACATTTGTGACCAGAAAGCATCAGGGTAAAGTATACTGCGTGAAGATAAATAAATGCAGGGAAGAAACACACATTTAGAGAACAAGGTTTTTCTCTATATACAAGAAAAAAGACCAGGTCTCCCCCCTAATTCAGAGATCTAATAACATTCCCTATTTAACATTATAAGAACTAAAAAAATTAAATTAAACTATAACTCCAAATGGATTCAACTAAGACGCTTTCACTATAAATGATTTCATAAATAAATAAAACTTGCTCACAAAAGCACCAGCTTGTTAGTTAATTGTACAAAGTCAGGCCTATTTCATTTTCTGGGAAACTGGTTTGGTAGAAAAAGAGAGAACAATCATTCTGAAAAAATGCTAAAATATATGATTTTCTTTCTGTACCTAATTTTTAAATTTCAAGATATTGGAATGCAAAGATTAAAAGATACATTTGCAATGATCTGAAACATCCTATAATCCCCCTTTTCAGTGTATCTTACCGATTTAGTTTCATTTTAGGATTAAAATAGGAATCTGTTTTCTGAGGTATAGAATGGTTAGGACAAATTTGTACATCTGTGTCTGCCTCTTTCAAAATTTCATTAGGTGGTTTAGCAGCAGATGCTAAGATAAAAAAAAAAAAGAAAGATTTCTAGTGAAATATAAAATACTTCTAAACATTTAAAACAATATACATTTAAAAGACAACTTTCTTTTATAATATTTTGTGTTAATTTAACTAATTAGGTAGATATTAAAAAAAAACCCCAACACTGATATATTCAGCACTGTCTTTGGAAAAGAAAGAGTAGCATTTAGTTAAATATTTGGTAAATTAATTTTTTTAACTTAAAATCTTAATTATCTAGCACATCAAGTCATCCTTATCATAATATGCGGTTAAGAACAATCAACCCAAGATAACACAAAATCTCAAAATAACTTTATTTCTCATCAAATACTACACACTATTGTATTTATAGTGGTGAGCTGCTATGTATATTTTATTGATATAACCATTAAAAAATTACTACCTCTATGTGATTACATACCACAGTGCTCATGTCTGACAGAAAGCCAGTAGATTTCTTGAGCATGGTAGACTTCAGAACACTCTCATAATTATGATTTTCAATCACAAGCTACATTCAAATGGCTATAAGTGGGAAAATATTGCTCTACATTTACTACACATTAGAATCATTTAACTATAAACCTAGATAAAACACTAATGTTTATGTTTTTGTGTATATATTTTAAATATCTGAGAGATTTATATGTGTAGGTAAAAATAACTGAGATTCTTTGAATTTCCTGGTACTATCATAAGCAGAATGTTAACTAAATGGCAACCATATTTCTCATTTTACAATGACACATAATAGTAATAATCTCTGAGCATTCCTTCTATATCCACCAAAGCAACATATCTCACAAGATCAGCCTTCTTGAAACCAAGTTCTGTGAGAAAGTTATGTTCTAGAGAAAATTATTTCAGTCATTATTTTATTCAATTTTTAAAAGACAGGCACATAGTCCCATTTTGTAAGTAGAGAAATCAGTTGATTCCCTACAATGGGTGCTTTTGAATAGGAGGGCTTAATTTTTAATTTCTAAAAAAGGATTCCTGGGCCTCCCCGGTGGCGCAGCAGTTGAGCGCTGGGTTGCGAAGCTGCCAGCAGCCTCTGCAGAGCCGGTTCTATCCTAGGCTGCCGGGTGAGGGTCCCACATGGAGCGCAGACCTCTCCTGCCGCCCGCTGCTCCCCTCAGCAGTGCACTTCGTCAGTCTGCCTGTTTTGTTCTCTGCTCTGGCTCTGGTGAATTCTCTCACCCTCCTGCGCTTCTGACTGTACCCAGTGCTTGTACAAATAGGCAAATAAATCTTTAAAATAAATAAATAAATAAAATAAAAAAGGATTCCCTCAGTAATAAGCTATTAATAAGTTGGTATCACTCAGGATAATAAATAGTCTTCATATCACTCTACCTTCCTTTCCTAGTGTTTTTCTACACACAGTTATTGATGCAGGAGTCATTATTAGTAATCTTTCACTGAGACACCTATATTTATTGCTTTCTTCTATTCACTTATTAAGTACATCTGTTAAATTAAGGACAGGTGGATGTTGATGGGGGGCCTCACAGAAAGAAATCAAAACCTGACGTAAAAGATTAGTAGGTAAGTAAATCATTTAGTCAAGTCATTATATTTTACCTGCTTATGTTTGAAAAGAATAATTGGACCACTGTTTAAGGATTTACTCATTAACATGTTAATGAGATTACTCGACTTACCAGCAATAAACTTGGATTTAGTCTCTCCTTTATTCACATGGCGCCTAACATGTCCTAGCATATCGGTCCTTCTGGTGATTGTTGCTGAACAAATGATACAATGATAATGGGCGCCCATTTTACTGGAAATCTATTAAACAGAGTATTTAATTTAAATACATAAATAAATTACTAAGACAATGAGATAGAAGTTTATTTAGGATTGCAAATTTAAGTATGTTAGTGTGTCCTGAGTTTAACAGTATAAAAGCTAGTATTAATTCTGCCATGTGACTTTGAAAGGCTCTTTATTTCCTTACCCACATTTATATATGCTTTTCAATTGTACTTTACCAGAGGCCTCAAAGTTTAATTTCCTAGTTTTTACTATTTACCCTAATCAGAAAATAACTGTACCTATTTTTATAAGTGACATTTACAAATTGCATAATACTAGCAGAGGTGGCTGTAAGGGTTTTAACTACTAGCTCACCAGGAAAATAAAATCCTGATTTGTAGTGCCTGTAGCTTTCTGTGGTTGAAGTACATTTCATGGCACAATTCCAAGTCACAATTGTGACAGGTGTCAAGCTACCAAGAGATCAATGAATATGAATTTGCAAAGAGATGTGTGATATTATACTAGCGAGTATTGCCACCATGCAGATTGTAATATAAATAACTGTAAAGAAACATAGGTAATTGTAAAATGTAGTAAAATTATCACAAAGTATTGAGTTGTGAGTATTTAGTACTTTTATTTTAATATAACATGGAAATTTTTAATGATGACCATATGTTTACCAACCAACTCTCAGGATTCCTGGAAATCTGACAATATCCAAGTATATCACTGAATGTTAGCAACATAGTAAGTTGATATTTTCTAAGCAACAAATTCTCCCTTTAAAATTCTCATTTTAGCAGAGGAAAAAAAGACAACTCAATTGGCTCTTTCTTAGTTTTAATGCCTTTTACTCTGAATGCCTCTACCTTTTTTATTGGATCACATAGCAAGTATAGTAAAAAAACATCGCACAGTTATGGCACTGTGAATATCATATTCAAGACATACTGGATAGGGTTGACTGACCACACATTTGTCCTGGACTACTTCTTAAGGAATGTTTGGGCTTTTTCCACCCAGCATTTAATTCTTCTTAATGATGCTAAACACAAATTAACAATGAGGACTTCTTAAGCTAGTATGTATTCAGGATAGTGTCCCTAAAAATATTTAATAATTTTTGTACCCCAAAGATCAAATCTATCCTAAAAAATAAATATACGTATTTTTAAAAAAGTTATTAAAATTTCAGATAGTTTCTTGATTCTGTCCGTTGACAAATTACAAGGAAGAGGAGTATGGACTCATACAGACTAAGATCTCAGTGCCACAGAAACTGAAAGCATTTATTCATGATTAAAATTTATTTTGAAAGAAAAAAATTACTATTTAAATTCTACATTACAAGATTAGTAAATGGGTTAATTTTTCTTTCAGATTATGAGACTGATGGGCTGCCCACTGTGCCAAGAGGGCCCCTAATTTTCCTTTCTAACAAGAAGACAATTTATCTTATCTAGCTCAAATTAAAAACTATCAAACAAAAAGTTCAATACAGCAGCTCTTTTTGAATTTAAAAATGACAAATCTAACAGCTGATTACCTGTTCTCCAATAATGTTTGGTTTCACTGGTCGACAAGGTAAGTGACAGATGCACATTCTGTAACCTAGAATGAAGAATGGCTGATTGTCTTATCACTGTTCATTAAGTATTCAATTATCAATAAAAATTATTAGCAAGTTTTGTAAGAATAGCTAGGATTATTTCTACTTTTGTTCTGTCATAATTTATTTGAATGGAATTGTCTTAGTTTCTAATTGGCATGTTGTTTTCTAATTTCCAGTTATGTAGAGCTGAGAAAGTTTTTGAGTATTTTAAATCCCAACACTGTTGTGAATATTTTTATTAACTCTAGAATTTTTTAAGCGATCAGCGAAAAAAAAATCTTCTCATTTCTAATATTCATACTAATAATTTTACTTTTTTTGTTTTACTAAACTTTTAGATCCTCAAAAATATGTGGAAAGTGGTAGTTGTCCTAACATAAAAACTATTCTTTATTAAAACATTGTTCAATAATATAGAACTCCAGGGCCAAGCAGAGTACCTGGTACACAAGAAATACTTAGTAAATGTTTGCTGAATTACTGATGTCATGTATGTCTATTCCCTAAAGGACTATGTGGTCTTATTAAATAAGTTAAAGGGGGCAGGTATAAACAATTTTAAATTGAAAATCTTTTATTATGTTCACAAAATTTCAAAAACGGTATTCACATCTTGAATTGTATTTACATCACTTTTTTAGCAAGCACAAAAATACTAACCTTCAAATTCAACTGAGACTTTCCAGTGTAAATTTTGGAGATGCCGCCGAAGCTTATGGCTATTACAAGCTCTAAATTTTTCCTTAGGGCATAATGGACAAGCCTGTTTGTTTCCTGAAAAAGAAAAAAGAACCAAGAAAGCAAAGAATATACTACCAATAAGGGACTCTGGCCACCCCCCAACACACAAATACACACACTTTTAGATAATGTATTCCTAGGGAGAAGTCATTCCTACCTCAGGGAGTAGTTCACAATCATTTTTTTAGCACAAGGCCAGTGATTGCTTTCTTAACCCTAAAACTCTCTTCTCTTTGGGCTATTGAGTCCTTGTGACCTCTGGAAACTAAGAGGATGAGGAAATGATAAACTATAGTCTATCCATTCACCCTAAGGGCCAGAGCAGATACTACACTCTGGATAGGGCAAAGGGCATACTTTGGATAGGGCAAAGGGCAGCAGATACTACACTCCCAGAAGGGTAGGAGCTGGGTGGAGAGATAGGTATTTGTTGTGGTAACCTTCTATGTCACAACAAAAAGTTAACATGCGGAATTAGAAAAATGGAAGAAGGAAGTAAAGGAGTAGATGGCTATTCTGAGATTGCGGGCATGGTTACAACCACTGTATTCTATTACTAAATTTGTAAATTCCTCCCTCGTCTTTATTCACATATTCTTAAGATTATGAATCATGAAAATAGAAGTCTTATTTCATTAGAAGTGCAATGTATCTACAAATTTTGCGTATTATTAATATGCAAAAGAATTAAGACATCAAGTTCAGGCTTAAGGTAAAATAAATATACAGAAATAACAAACTATAACTTTAAATGCAACAAATACCTTTCATATAGAATGCAAATATAGGCACTTTTTAACATTTGCTGTTGAGTTAAAAAAAAAAAAAAGAGGTGATCATGAGGATGGAAACCAAGCACTGAGGATGGCAGAGTGGAGAGGAGCTTGGGTATTAACTACTTTCTGGAACTCTTATAACAGCCCTAAACCACCCACTTTGGGAATTCTTTTGCATGAAAAAATATAAGCTCCGTATTATTTAAGACATTGTTTTGTTTTTTTTTTTGGGGGGGGGCGTTCTGTTATTGTAGTTTCCTTGAAATAACTTATTCTCACAGCACTTTTGAAGACACAGCTACCAATTTCCTGGGTAATTTTTTTTACTATTGTATTAGTTCAATGGGAATAATTAAGTATAATTACTAAATAATTACTAAATTTGTAAATTCTTCCGTCTTTATTCACATATTCTTAAGATTATGAATTATGAAAATAAGAAGTCTTATTTCATTAGAAGTGCAATGTATCTACAAATTTTGCATATTATTAATATGCAAAAGAATTAAGACCTCAAGTTCATGAATTGAAAGATAAGTTATTCAAAATTAAAAAACAAACAAGCAAATGTGAAAATACCTGCATCAAGATTATCTGAATTCAAAGAACTGGCAGAGTCAAAATCTCCTTCAGTTACAAAAGCTAACTTCTCTAGATCAGCAAGTTGCCTTTGAATTGAGATGTGTCTCTCTGAAAAGAAATTTTTAGAGTTAGATAATGCTTTATCAATCTGTATTCGTTTCATTTTTATTTGATCATTCACAGAACTTTATACTTTCATTTTCTGCAACAGTGGCCTAGTACTTCAAATGGCGAATACTGTGGAGCTCAGTTTATAAAGTGACAAGAGCGCTTCAGAATGTAAAAAGGTTGAGGAAAAAACCCCATTGTGTACATTTGTAGCTTCAAATTGTTATTTAATATAATTCTACAAAAAAGTACTTATTCTGCACAAAAAACTGAAGAAACATACCACATTTCCTGTTTTCAAAGAACTTTCAATCAGGTCAGAGAGATTAACATGTTAAGTACTACTATAACACCGTTATAGGTAATTACTAACTTATTACTAAGTACTACTATAACACCGTTATAGGTAATGTTAGGGGTTAAAGGTAATAAGATAAGGACATGTACAGGAATTAATTCTAATAAGTGACTGAGAGTATCTTCATGGAAGTGGGGTTAAAGGTAATAAGATAAGGACATGTACAGGAATTAATTCTAATAAGTGACTCTGAGAGTATCTTCATGGAAGTGGCATTTGATTGAGACTGAAGGTATCAGTAGAATTTCAATAATAAGTAGATAAGTAGAGATTTGGTGGCTGGCCTTACAAACTGAAGTAATCTGATGACAGTTTAAAAAAACACAGCCACCTCTATCCCAGCTCTGGCTGCAATTACTGAGGGGGAATGGATAGGAAAATAAGCAGCCGAAAATGTTGTACAGATCATAGAAAGCATAAATCCCATGCTAATTAGTTTAGACTTTATTTGTGGGACAATGGTACGCCTTTGCAGATATTACAGCAAGTGAATGATATGATTTGAATGTTTCTGAAGGGTATCTCTGGCAGTAATAACCAGCATAAATAATAGATGTGAAAAACTTGCAAGGAAAAGGTATAGGTGGTTAAAAAAAAAAAAGGATGCAAAGCACATGGGTTGCAAAAAGGATGGAGAGCACTATTATCTAATGAAGGAAGAGAACAAATTTGGCAGAAAGGATAAAAGGGAATTTAATTTTCGACATAGCGTGTTTGATATCCTAGTGGTATTCATGTACAAAGTCAAATAAGCAGTTGAACTGTGTTTTGGAGCCAGTTGAGAAGATCTAAAGATATATGAAGAGATATAAATCACAAATACACATTAGGTGAAACTCGAAAAATATTAAGCATAAGGAAAAAAGGTGAAAAAGAAAAAAGCCAAAACCCAGTCCTAGTAATAGTTTTAGGTTTCTCAAAAATCACACATTCTTCAAATTATATACTTGTAAATGTTGTAATATATGAACGTATCTTTCCAAAACATACAAAACATACTCTTGATTCCGGGCAAGGGGTAACTGCATTCAGGTGCTGAACCCACTACTGATTTATATAAATGGATACAATCTGGAAACAAGGTGTGGAGATGAAATATCAGGAGAGTAGATTCAAAAAGATTAAGTGGTAGGGAGAAATGATATAAAGCAGAACTAAGGAAGACAAGACTATAAAAGAGAAGTGTTCAACACACAAATAACTGCAGTGATGAAGAAAAGAATTCTGGATTTAGTTTTTCGCAGGTCTCTGGTGACATTTAAGCTATTTGAGAGTACAAATGCACTGCAAGGAGAAATGAAGTAAAATCAGAGAAATAAACCAGAAGGAAAAAGAAAAATATCGGATGGTTTCACTTATAGTAGGAATACAGGGGAACCAAATAAGACATCAGTGTAAAAAAAATTAGTACAAAACACAACAAAGCAAAACCAGGCAATTACAAATCAGAGACATCCTGCAGGGGAGGAGGAGGGAGAGGGGTGAGAGGGAGAGAGGGAGGAGCACAGGGGACTGAGGTGATGGTACATGGTGCATGGGTGAAGGAAACTATGGGGACTACAGCTGAGGGGATGGGGAGAAGCAAATATGGTTAAAAAATGAAAAATTATGTAAAAAATTTAAAAAATTAAAAAAAAAAACATAGTTTTTTCCCCAAGCATAAAAATTGAGAGGATTGTAACTTGCTTTTTCTTTCAAAGGATAGACTTGATAGGTGACATTTACAAAGTGGGAACCTGAATATCAAGTTTAGATAACTTGACAGAAAAATACCCTGGATGAGATGGATTTGGAGGTAAAGCATAAGGTTCTAATATTCATATGTCAGTAGGTTATATAATTCAGAATGTATTTTTGTTAAGTAACGATTTTAAAAGATCACTGATCTTTCTGGATGCAGTAGCACACCTGAGTCAGTAATTTCAATTCGTTACTATCAGACATTTCCTGTTCAAGTTTATTACGACAAACTTTTACCTTATTTTTAAATGAGAAAAACATGAACAACAAAGTTCTTACTGGTTATTGGTCAACCTCTTACACTAGGTATTGTTCATGGAATTTATAAAACTTTATGAAATATAATTTCTATAAGCAGGCAAAATTTTTTCCCATTTGACCAAAAACTTAATTGCTAGGTCAGACAGTAAGATTCAGGCAATGAATCCATGTATAAAAACCAAACTATTTAACTTGTAATCATAAAGGCAAAATTTGGTTTTTTCATAGTTCAAAAACCTGTGCATGTGAAATATACAAAGATACTATATAAAGATATGCTTATTGAAATCATTCTTACTACTGAGAAGTATGAAATAAGAGAAAGGGGCCCTGTAAATTAGAAAACTGAAGAACATTATCCACTATTGAAGAAAATGCCCACAAATCTTTCTGAAAGTTCTCCATAAGGTTATGGTCCTGTCTGACATCACATTCTGCTTCAAAATAGTAGACATTTGGGGCCTCCCTGGTGGCGCAGCGGTTGAGCGCTGGGTTGCGAAGCCCGCAGCCTCTGCGACGCCGGTTCAATCCCCGGCTGCTCCCCGGCCACAGGAGGAGGGTCCCACATGGCGCGCAGACCTCTCCTGCGGCCCGCTGCTCCCCTCAGCAGTGTACTTCGGTCCTTCTGCCTGCTCTGCTCCCCGCTCTGGCTCTGGTGAATTCTCTCACCCTCCCGCGCTTCTGACTGTACCCAGTGCATGTATAAACAAAAAACAAAACAAAACAAACAAATAAATAAATAAAACATGCCTCTATAAAAAAAAAAAAAAAAATAGTAGACATTTGACAATCTATACTTAAATCACACCACCTGTTTTTTGTAACACTAATGAACAGGAAATCAAGAGTCACACCTCTTGTTAAAGCTGAGGAAGCCAAGATGCTAGGAGACTCTTTTACAACTTCGTCCTCAATTTTGAATTCTATTTTAGATATGCCATCTTCATCTTGACTAATTATGACTGATTTGAAAGGACTAACTAGACCATTTAAAAATAATTTTTGAAAAGCGAGCAATGTATACTTCTGATGCATTTTAAGATTTCTCAATCATTACATCCTTGTCCTAATAATACATTTCCAGGTTTTTCAAACAGCAAATATTCTTCAATTACACATTTGTACATTTTGGAATACATGAACAAATTTTTCCAAATAATGCTCACATAATTTTGACAGTGGAGAAAGCATGCATTCCCTACAGCTGCTGAACCACTTCTGATTAATATAAACAGACTCAATCTAGGGGAGAGGTGGAGGCTAATTTACCCAGGAGCGTGTACACCCTTCTTCCCCAACTGTAGCTGCAGGTAAAGAAACACAGAACTTTGCACCTACTAGTTCGGATCTTACATGAGAGGGGTGGGGCCTAAGACAAGCAGGCTGTCTTTTCTGTGATCAGTCCTACTCTAAAATCGAACAATTTATGTCGTTTTAAAATTGCAAAATAATTCTGTTAGACTACTACCCAAGTGTTTTATAAACAATAAACTCACAACTGGTCTAGAAGTAGTGAAGCCAACGAATTAATGATATTTTGTTACAATTCAGAAAGAGCGTTAGGAATCCATTTATGGATCACAAAATAATTTTCTCAAAAAAACTTCAGTCTTTCTTCGACCTTTATTTTAAAACGTTCATTAGATTCTTTTTTTTTTTTTTTTTATTTTAAAACGTTCATTAGATTCTTAAAGTGTTACTAATCTTTTCAATGTCTTGATGGTTCATCACACCACCATTTAGAAAACATAGAAACACATTCGGAAACAAATACTATCAACTACTGATTTTCGACAGTAAACTTCTGATGAAACTCAATTGGTATTTATGTCTGCAGGAAGACATTCATACTCAGTCGACTCATCTAGTACTCATCGGCCACACAGTCTTTTTGAAAGCAAGCTGCCAAAGGAAATAAAGTGAGAAAAATTCATCTCTTTGTGTACGTCGAGGCATAAAAGCTACTTGGCAGCTAGGATTCACAACAGTAAAAAGGCTGCCTCGGCTACTATGCCACGTTTTAAAGGCACTGAGAGGGGAAACTACCAAATTTAGTGTGACTTTCTATTTTTGTAGCAGAAAGCGTCCCCCTCCCCCGTGAAGGAAAAAAGCCCTCCGCCTCCCATTCCCCCCTGCAGCACCCCTGGCAACACATCCTCAGTGTGACGTCCTCGAGGTCCGCGGCGCTGCCTTCCCCCGTTCTAGTCCCGTTTTCTCCGCTCCACGTCCCTCCTCCCATCCCCACTCCCATTTTCCTAAACCTGCCTTTTCCACAAAGGCCATCCCAGTGAGGAAGGGCCTCCCCTCGTCCCAAGCAAGGCGCTTTTCTCGCTTCTCCTACAGCAGAAAGATCTGGGCATCCTGCACTTACTGCTTTCAGCCTCGTCAGGGGCAGAGGCTAGGGACGGGGACAGGGCCGGAGCCTGGGCCAGGGCAGGGACTGGGGCTGGAGCCGAGGCCGGAGTCGGAGCCGAATCCGGGGCCGGAGCGGGGACCCGAGCGGTGTCCTGGGCCGGGGTCGGGACCTGGACCAGGGTCACCTCCTCCTTCTCCTGGGGCAGCAGCTCCTCCTCCGCCATATTCTCCATAGTGACCGCCTCCGTGCCGGGCCCGCCCGGGGACGAGGAGGGGTTCACGGCGGGGTGAGAGAACGGGCCTGAGCGCCCAGAGGGCTGGATCCAAGGGGTGGGACAGCAAGTGGGGAGGGCGGGTTGCGTGCAACAGACAAAAGATAAAGAACCAGTGACCAAATCCTATCAGCAGAAAAATAAAAACCCAGAGGCAGCGATTCCGGTCCGGCCGCTTCCCTTTCCCCGGGGCGTTACGACGCCACCACAGGCTGCGCAGAAGCGTATCGGGACGCGTCCAATGAGGTGAGAGAGTTCCGTCTCCACCGTGCGTCTCCGTTCCAGCCATCCGCCGCTGAGAGGAACCGAGACTACACTACCCAGCATGCACCACCCGCCCTGTTCCCTTCGCCCCTGCTCCGACTGAACCGAGACTACACTACCCAGCGTGCACCACCCCTCCCTGCTCCCTTCGCCCCCGCTCCTACCGAGCCAAGACTACACTACCCAGAGAGCACCGCGCTGAGGGGGCGAGGCCGGAGTCCCACTTTCTAAGAGGAAGTAAAGGTAAAGCTAAACAAACGCTCCCCGCGGCTGTGCGGTCGCCTAGATCCGAGGGTGGAACTACATTTCCCAGCGGGCGTCGGGTTTTTGGCTCCCTTTCCCTCCGCCTGGGTGTCTGGATCCGCAACCGCCGCCGGCGCTGGTAAGGTAGGGACTGGGGCTCGTTCGCATATTGATGGGCCGGCGCCTCGCATCTGCCGGTGCCCAGTCGGCGGGGCTGACGGGGCTGGGCGCCGCTGGGGCCGGGGCGGGGCAGCTCTGGGGGCGGGTATGGGGTCTAACGCTCTGTGTACTTCTGGCGGACCCTTCCTCTGGGACGCCCCTCGCTTCTCCCACCGTGTTGGCAGTATCGTCACGTAAGCCTCTGTGTATGGGGATTCTCGGGGGAAGGAGATGTTCGACGCTTGTATTAAAGCTTTGGCTAACCTGAGCGCCAAGTGTGTTGAGCTTCAGGGCACTTGATTGATCCTCTGCCTCTGGGCATATGGGGTTGAATTCCCTGGCCCCCCGTAGCGCTACTGGGGCAGGCTGGGAAAATTTGAATTTTCTGACTGGTCTGAACGTTATAGGCAGCAGGAAAGGAGAGGGAGACCCCCCCCCCCTTTTAGTCTCAGGTACAAAACTCACACTTTCAGTTTGGTTCTCCTAGTTAATAAAGCTGAGAGCTAATGCCTGTCTTTTTGGTCTGTTTATTTCCTACTTGTTTAAGAATCCCTGGGGGAGAGTGTGAATGTTTGGCACTTTGAAACTCTAACACGACGTTAGTCCTTCCCACTCCTAGTCCCTTCTCTCCCCACACCTCCCAGGAGTTAGGAAGTGTATCTGGAAGTTTTTCCTTCTCTCTTCCCCAGTTTAATGGAAATGTTATAGAGCAACCCCGATCCGACGACCTGGAAACCCAAAGTCACTCTCAGAGCTGGCCGGAAGCTGCGAGCTGGTGGAGAGCCCAAAATGGGGTCCCCCAAAGCCCACGTGTCTGCCTTTTCTATCCACCTGGCTGCTTAACCCCACCCTCAGGTCCCAGCCACCTTCCCTTTGGTGGTGATGGGATTTGGAGTTCCCAGTGACTTTGGCTTTGACCTGGGGTGGGGGTGGAGTCCACAAAGCCTATATGGAAATAGCTTTGGGACATCTTTTTCCCCCTAACAATTCCCCCCTTTCACTTTTTGCCACCATTTCCATGGTGATGAAGATCGAATATATGGAGGTTGGGATGCAGTCTCAGATGAACCTTTGATGAGTTACTGTTCTAAAGCCGCCTTAGTGTTCTCACTCTCAAGTTTTAACTAGTGTTGCTGCTTAACAATCAAAAATGTTATAATGTGGCCAGCTGTATTTGTGTATCCTCTGATAATCATTGCTTTTTCTTTTTTACTTTTAAAAGACTAGATGGTTAATGAAAAGCTTAATTAGTGTATCAGTCTCACCATTTAATGCCAGCTGGAAACCAGGAAATGAATAGGGTTAGATTGTAGTCAGTGTAGGCAAGGAAATTTTAGTAAGCATTTCTAAGAATGTTCCCTGCTCTTGAGATTTCCCAAATAGAAGTGATCTTCAAAGATCTAAGAATTGTGCGAAGTGAATATATTATTTGCTGTGTGAGGTATCCCAAACTTGATGACTTAAAACATCAATAAACATTTATTATCCCCACAATTTCTTTGGGCCAGGAATTCCAAAATGACTTTCTGAGTGTATCTTGTTCTAGGTCTCTCATGAGGTTGCAGAAAAGATACCTGATATAGGGATGCTGTCTTGTGAAGACTTGATTAAGGCTGCAGAATCAGTGGCAAAGGTGTTTCACTCACATGCCTGGAATTTGGGGCTTCTTGGCAGGAGTCCTAGGTTATTCCTTGGTGGGCCTCTCCTCCCTCACATCTGTTGGAATGTATTGTTAACATAGCAGCAAGCTTTCCCTAGAGTGAGCAATTCAAGACAGAAAGGCCAAAGCCACAGTGTCTTATGTGACCCACATACTGCCACATAGCAATACCCAACTAGTTACATAAGTCAGCCCTTTTTTTTTTTTTTTTTTTTTTTTTTGTGAGAGAGAACTACGTAAAGTAACGGAGATTATCAGAAGCCATTTTGGAGAATGGGCCAGTACAGGTCCATTTAGTTTATGTTTTGATTTTCACAAAATCAGTATGAATTTCATACTAATATAAAACATTTGTCATGTTCAAAACACAGGTGTTTTTCCTTTAATAGTCTATCAGCAATGCCTTTTTTTTTTTTTTTCTCAATTTGTTTTGTGGGTAAGCATTATTTTGTATTCAAAGTGTAAAAAGAACAATGAGGAGCAACCTCTAAGCCAATGGTGGCACTCGTTGCCCACTCCGTGGTAAAAGGTGGAGTTTTGGGGACTCTTTAGCCCTAGCACCCCTGAATGTTGGTAGAGGGTGCCAATGGGAACTGGGGGCAGAGCAGAGCTGCCAGGTTGACCTAAAAAGACTGAACACGGGCAGGCTGGTGTCTGTTTTTTTGGCTTCCACTTGGATTCTTGTCTCTGCTTAACTGATACTATCTGTAGGTAGATCAGCCAGCTTCCTCCTACATACCTGCTAGTAGGTTTTCTTCTTTCCCTAAGCTCTTCCTTTTCCCACTTATGTAAATCTGCTTTGGGGTCTTCTGTATTACTAGGTGCATGGGTGAGGACTCACAAACCAGATCATACCATCTCCCAATTCTCACACCCTATTTGCCCCATAGCAAAGGCACCATGACCAGTTTAAATTAGAAAAGATGACATCATATCCTGTCCATTGCCTCAAAGCATCTCATGGAAGTTACTGTTTTTTATTGTACTCGTCCGCCCATGGAATGGAATCCTTTGAGCAAGGAAGAGAGAAGATTATTACTCTGATTTGAAACTCAATTGTGAATTCAATTATCACGATAAACTATCTTACATGGCAAAATTTCTGGGTAATTTGGAATCTATTCTTAGAAGACTATGATAAACATTCCTTAATAAAACTTAACTACTTTTAGTTTTTTTTGTTAGCTATCACTGTTTATCTTTTCATATCAAAGCATTCTGAAAGTTTGAATTTGTAGAATTGATCATTCTTTTATAGAACATCACTTATTTGATCATGTTAACTATGAGTGATTGGAATTGCTTGGTTTCTAATCTTTGTTATTTTCAAAGTATCAGTATACTCTGGGATTGCTCTGTAGCTGAACCCATAGTACAATTAGGGAAGCTGTAAATAATGAACTACAAAGGGCAGAAGCCCTGGTATGAGGAAGGGCTGTACTGCTTAGATTATCAGGAATACCAGGACCACCCTGAGCTCAAAAGATGGTATGCTTAGATTAGAAAGGATATTGAGATAACTCAGCTATGACCTGCACCAGTGGTTAAGCATTCCTCTCCCCCACCCCCATGCTTGCTTGCTTCTTGTTTTTATCTTCCGCCTGATTCTAAATAAAATGTAAATAAAAGCTAGACTGACCTAAAGCAGGGCTGCATCTTTTTTTTTTTTTTTTTTTTTTTTTTAAGATTTATTTATTTATTTATACAAGCACTGGGTACAGTGAGAATTGGGGGAGGACGAGAGAAATCACCAGAGCCGGAGCCGGGGACAGAACAGGCAGACTGACGAAGAAATACACTGCTGAGGGGAGCAGCGGACATGGCAGGAGAGGTCTGTCACGCCATGTGGGACCCTTGCCGGTGGCCAGGAATCAAACCGGCACTGCAGAGGCTGCGGGCAGCTTCACAGCAAGGCTTCATCTTAATTCTCCCTTCTTTAGGGAGTCTTTTGATGTAAGTTCCTCTAGGCTTCTCATTACTCCAACAGACTCTTGAGTAATCATTTTCATCCCACGTGGAACCCCATCAGGCAGCAGTAAACCTCACTATTAGTAGTAAACTCTCCTCTGGACTTTGTTTCTAGACATATTTTGTTATCTCAGTGGACCTGGTGAGGTCTCTGGCATTTGTTGTGAGGTGTAGGTGGGGCAAAATACTATAGTCCTGTAAGCAGAAAAGTCTGCTATGATACTTGAGAGAAAATCAGGGCTAGAGGCAGAATTATGAGTTATTTCTAGAGGTGATAGATAAAAACACAGGGTTTTATCATTATGAAATGAAATACATCATAAGGGAGAATATATGTGAAATAAAATGACACAGTGAAAACATACTGCTGTTTTAGCCATGGTTAGAAAATAGAAGTAATTTTCTAAAACTCCAATCTTTATATATTTGAAGAAAAATATCTGAGGTTTTTTTGTTTGTTATAAAAGATACATAATATATTTTTAATTTTTTTTTTTAGGTTTTCAAAATGTCCAACAAAGAATCTTGTGGGAAAAAAGAGAATTCTTGGAGAAAAGGCACTATTTCATCACCCAACTTTGTTGACGAAGTAAGAATTTTGGTTTATTGACCTAAAGATATTTTTTTTACAGTTTAATTTTGTGTAATGAAAAAAAAACCCTCAGTTTTAAAATGAATTATGTAAGTATGTAAAAAAAAAATATGAATATTTACCCTTCTGGTCTAGGAGATGTTTTTCTCATTCTTTAAGTGCATTATTTTGTTTATAGTAATAATTCATCATTAGACCATTTCCACATGGTCTCCTCTCCCCTTGCTCAGCATGCTCTCTGGGATCACATGCTCATCAGTCAAAGTGAGCCACCCTGTGTAGGGGAGGCTAACGGCAGGAAAGACCATTCTCCCCATGTTCCCTTTTCTTTTAGTCAGTACACTGCCTTGAGCATTTTGGTAGATTAAATTTAAGATATCTAATAAATTGAGCTGAGTAGGTCTCTAGGAAGCGTCTTGAAGATTTCAATGAGATTAGTTACCAAAATAGAAAACTTTGTAGTCAGTTTTACTGTAAACTCTGATTAGTCTGCATAGTACATTATCAGAATTATACCATGTTTATGTGAGATTATTGTCTAAGATGGTGTCTAATCTGGCAAAGGTGAACATTCACTAAAGAAGTGGTTTTTTGTGATCATGGTTAGTTCACAAGGCTTTTTCATCATCTGGATGAAGTGTTCCAGAGTTCATACACTTCTCAGTGTTTGATGCTTACTAACTTTCTTGAGTATTCATTTAGTCTCCCAGATATTGCGATAAAACCCTGAAGTGTGACCAGAAAGTACCCTGGTGTCCTTGACTTGCAAATTCCCGTTTTGACATTAATATTTGGGATGCTGTTTGAAATTCTCCCATTCGCTCAACCTAGTCTAGTCAGAAGTCTCCAAATAGGTGCTCATCAAAGTCAACAATGGTTTCCATGTTGCTAGGTCAGTTTTCAGAGCTCATCTGATTTGACCCATCAGCAATAGTGGACATAACTGTTCATACCTTCTCTTTGAAACACCTTCTTCACTTAGCTTTTAAGACACCATACTTTCCTGATTTGTATTTTACCACTTTCTCACTGGTGCATGCCTCACACAGCATCCTTTGCTGGTACCTCCTCATCTTAAACTTTTCAAGTGCCCAGTCATGGTTTCCCACTTTAGTAAAATACAGTTTCATTCTTTCATTCACTTCAGCCAAAATTTTTGTCATCATCTGCCAGCATCCTGTCTAACAGCAGGTTCTATCAGCTATGTTGTGGCCTCTTTTCCATCTACGGTCTCTGCACCTGTGTGCACATGGCCTTTCTGTGCACCTATGTGTGTGTGAAAGAATTGGATAAGGCACTCCTGCATGACTGCCTTGAGACAATAGTCCACATCAGGAGGTGGCCAGGGACTCGTAGGTAACCGTTGACTGATTGTGTGGTCAGGGTCCAAGACGGTCTAAGAGTAGTTTGGAAATTACACCAAGCACCTGCATGGGAAGTATTCCCTGTATATGTGGCTGACATGTCCCCTCCTGCTCTCTGTAAAATTGAAGTCCTGTCTCCCATAAAGATACATACCCTTTGTTTCCCCTGGACCCTACTTCTCCTGCCATTGTCACATAATCAGTCATGCTTGTTTATTATTAATAGCAAGAGGGCTGCTCACTGAGCACCAGAGTCTTGCCTTGCAAACCTGTTTCATGACTCGTCCCTCAGCATGTCCCCGGGATGTGCTGGCACATTCTTGACCCACTTTTTTTTTTTTTTAAAGATTTATTTTATTTATGCAAGAACCAGGGTACAGGCCAGATGCATGGGAAGGCGAGAGGATTCACCAGAGGCAGAGCGTAGACAGAACAGGCAGACTGATGAAATGCACTGCTGAGGGGAGCAGCAGGCGAGACAGGAGAGGTCTGCTCGCCATGTGGGTTGCTCTGAGGCCGGCGGGGATCGAACCGGCACTGCAGAGGCTGCGAACAGCTTCACAACATGCGCTCAACCGCCTGCGCCACCAGGGAGACCCCCCAGACTAGCTCTTAATAAAATACTCAAAGTCTGACTACCTCCTCCACTGGCTATCTCTGAGACCTAGACTGTCGACTTGCTTTCCCATCATTACATTAGTTAATAAATTGATCTCTCTGCTTCTGCCTTTACCTCCTTGTGTTCTCAACACAGCAGCCAAGGTACTGCTATTGAAGTGTAAGTCAGATCATGTCACTCCTCTGCTCTGTATCTTCTAGTGCCTTTCAATTTCATTGAGGGTAAAAGCTGAAGTTCTTGCTGGGCTGACAAGTGACTACTCTCCCCATTTCGCCTCCCTCTTACTCTCATTGCTCTCTCTACTCCTTGCCTTCCTTGCCACTGTTCCAACAAGTTGGTCACATTCCTGCCTCATGGCTTTGCACTTGCAGTTATTCTTTTTGAATTGAAAACTCTTTGCCCAGATGCTCATATGCTTTGTTCCTTCCTTTTTAAAAAAAAAAAAAAAATTATTTATGAATACAAGGACTGGGGTCTAGGTTAGAGGAGCCGGGGGGTGGGGTGTGGGAGTGAGAGGATTCACCAGAGACAGAGAGGGGAGCAGAACAGGTGGATTGACTGAAATTCACTGTTAAGGGGAGCAGCAGGCGAGACAGGAGAGGTCTGCTGTGCCATATAAGTTAGCTCCCTGGCTGGGGATCGAACTCATGCCATAGTGTCTGGCAATAGCTTGATAACCCCTGTGCCACCAGGGAGGCCCCCGGCTTTGTTCCTTCTTGAGGTCTCTGTTCAGAAGTCAACCCATCTGTGAGACCTCATCCATCTGCTCTGTTTAAATTTGTAGTTGCCTCCATCTCTACCTCTCAGGCCTTGCTGATTCCTTTCTCTGCTTTATTTTCTTCCAAATATATAAGTTATTTGTGTATTCCTGCACTAGACTTTATATCCATGTGCCAAGGGGCTTTATTGCTTTTTCATTAATCTGTACCCTTATCTAGAAAGTCTTTGGTAAATGGTAGGTATGTCCTGGGTCTGTTGAATTCAGGATCCACTGAAAAATAATTGAATATATGGTTTCAGAAGACTGAATCCCATCACGTCAATGCCATTTCCTAATGGCCTTATCTGAGCTGTCATTGACCTTCTGTTCCAATACCTATATCCCATCTCAACTCTAATTCAAGAGCACCTAGATTTTCTGACTTCCAGTTGAGTCTACCTTCTATTTTAGTTTCCCTTCCTGTTACTAAAGTTTGTGTGCCTTTAAACATTGTTCCTCTCTGAGGTTTATTATTAATATGGAAAGAATGTTATTTATAGTAATAATGGTGAAATGATGCAGTCTTGTAGTGTGCTTTATTTTGTGCTTTTCTTGTTTCTTCTTTTTTCCAATTGGCATTCTTAGGATAAGAAAGAGAAAAAACCCTCAGCCAGTTCTATTAGTTCACCTTGCTCTACAAGATCTGTTTCATCACAGAAGAGAAAACTGGTGAGTGTTTAGATACTGCACCTAAATCTAAAAATTATATTGAAGTCTTAATGTACAATTAAAGGGTTTTTAAAATTGAGATATAATTGCCATATAACATTTTATCAGTTTCAAGTATACAGCACAGTGATTCTGGACTTGTATATATTGCTTATATATTGCGAAGTGAGCACCACAGTAGTCCAGTTAACACTTATCATCACACATAGTTAAAAGAATTTATTCTTATGATGAGAATGTTCGTTTGCTTTCTTAGCAATTTTAAACTATGCAATACAGTATTATTAGTCCAGTGTGTTAGCTGTAGTCACCCTGACGTATATTATATCCCTAGAACTTAGTTATTTTATAACTGGAAATTTGTATCTTTTCACCTCTTCACCAATTTCTCCTACCCTCCCACTCCTACCTCTGGCAACCACTATTCTGTTCTCCATATCTGTGAACTTGATTTGTTGTAGTTTTGTTTTTGATTCCAAATATAGGTAAAATAATATGATATTAATCTTTCCAATTAGAGGGTCTGTGTTATGAATTCTCCCCACTATTCTTCTATTAAATTTTTCTGTATCTTATACTTACTTTTCGATATCCACTAGAATGAAATCAGTGCTTATGTTTTTTTTCCTTCCTACTTCTTACCAAATAACATTTAACACATTATTTATTGTGTGTTGATAGACCCTATCACATGGGATTAAATAACATGCATATGAAGTTAGATAGCTTTTATGTCTTCTCCCATGTATAGTTATATTTATAATATATTTTTGTTGAGATTCCCAAGGCAGAAACAGAGTTTGCATTTTCGAATTCAGAAGCTGAGATCCAAAAGATTAAGTGGTTTGTACATGGATACAAATTTAGGTGTAGGAACAGAGCTAAGTTCAGAATTCTTTACATTCTCACAAATAACTGGAAATAATGACGGTAGACTAAACACACTAAACTTGTGACTGCTTGGTTGGTGTGGTACTTTCCACATTCAAGTGGAAATTAGGTATATATCTGGATACCTCCATAGTTGTGGGTAATAAAGGAAAGTAGTTGTGAAAGTTGCATGAATGCGGAATCGTGTTTTTAGAAATTTGTTTTCATATAGTGAGATAGCTGTTTCAATTTATTATTGCTATGCTAACCTTTTTAAAACAATGATTACATCATATCTCTGCTCTGTTGAAATCTTCACTCATTTTTTATTTTATCATGTAGGATGTTCTTAAATTGATCAACCTTAACTATCCAGTTGCTTTTTTTTTTCTTCCTTGAAAGAGTCTCTGTGCTTTCAGCTCTGCTAGTTTATTTTCTCTCTGCTGAGTTTATGCCAGAGTATTCTAGCTTCTTAGAATGCCAGACTTTCTTAGCTGAGAATCCCTTTTTCTCTTACCCATCACCTATCAATCTTCATTCAATATTCATTCTTCTTTTTTAAAATTATGTTTACAATAGCTAAGCTATGGAAACAACCCAAATGCTCAAAAATAGATGACTGGATCAAGAAGATGTGGTACATATACACAATGGAATATTACTCAGCAATCAGAAAAGATAAACACATGCAGTTTGCAGCAACATGGATGGAGCTAGAAGGGATCATGCTCAGCGAAATAAGTCAGAAAGAAAAAGAAAAATACCGGATGGTCTTACTCATAGCAGGAATTTAGAAAACCTAAATAAGAGACCAGGAAAAAGACTAATCAATATAAAGTAAAAATCAAAATCAACAAGCAACTATAAACCAGAGACACACTTGGCTGGAGGAGGGAGAGGCGGGGAAAGGAAGGACTAGAGTCAAAATAAGGGGGGGGTACAATTGTATGGGGAATATAACCATAATGAAAATGCATATATTGTATAAAAATGAAAAATGATGTAAGAATTATATAAAATAAAATATTTTTTTAAATAAATAAATAAATAAATAGAATATTATCATTTTGAACCTCAAAAAAAAAATGATTGTAAGAATGAAATAAAACATTTCACATTTGAAAAAAAATAAATAAAATTATGTTTATTGTGGTAATATTGATTTACAATACTGTGTATGTTTTAGAAGTATAGATTCACACCTGGTAGCCGCAATTCTGCAGCCAGATTTCAGAGAGTTTTTGTCTGTTCCTTTCGTTTTTTACATTTCACATAGTAATAAAATCATCTGGTGTTTGTCTTTTTCCTTCTGACTTACTTAACATAGCACAATCAACTACCAATTCTAATCATGTTGTCGGGAGTAGCAAGATTTCATCCTTTCTATACCTTAGTAGTATTCCATTGTACATATATGTCACATCTTCTTTATTCATCTACCCTTGGGCACTTAGGTTAGTTCCATAGGTTGGCTATTTTGAATAGTGCCACAGTTAACATAGAACTATATATATTTCATTTAATTAGTGTTTCTGTATGCTACAAATAGATACCTAGGAGAGAGATTGCTGGATCATATGATAGATATGTTATTAATGTTTTGAAAAACCGCCATACTGTTTTGATGCAGCCCCATTTATATATTTTTGCTTTTGTTTACCTTGTTCTTAAAGTTGAATCCCTAAAGACCTAATTGATGCCATGGCACAGTGTTTTTTGCCTATGTTTTCTGTTTTTTTCTGGTTTCATGTCTTACATGCTAGTCTTTAATCCATTTTGAATTAATTTTTGTGTATGGTGTGAGATAGTGGTCTATTGTCATTCTTTTACAGATGGCTGTCCACTTTTCCCATCATCATTTGTTGAATAGACTTTCCTTTTCCCATTGTATGAGCCACTCTACTGTATTTTTTAAGTTCACCGTTTGCATTATTTATGTCTGTGACTGCTATTGGGAGCTTTTTATAGTTTCTCTGCCCTTGCTGTATTTCTCACTTTTTTCGTCCGTTGTTCTCAAAATTTCAGTAATCATTAAGACTGTTGTTCTGAAGTATTATTCTGGTAGTTTGGTTAACTCTGCTGTACTAGGAATTTTTCCCAGGATTTCGTTTTGATCATTGATTGGGGTGAATTACTCTGCCTCCTCATTTTCTGTTTGATGCTATTTGATTATTTTTATGGATTCAGCTAGATTGCTTTCCTTCCTAGTCCTGCAGTGACGGCCTTTGGTTAGAATGGCAGGCTATAGGGTACTGGCGTAGGGTGTTGGCCTTGGATACTGTGCTTTGCTGTTGTATTGGTTGAAGCTTCATCACCAATCAGGATGCCTCAAGTTCAAGAGCCCGTATGGGGTGGTGATCCAGGAACCCAGGCTACATGGTGAGGGCTGGAGATTAGATGATATAAAGGCTGCTGCAGTAGATTCCCAGGAGCATAAGCCTTCCTTGGTCCTGTAGCCGCTTGAACTGAGGGAAGGATTTCCAATCACCATTTAGTCAAGGTAGGTCAAGCCAGACTATCAGTGGTGCTCTCCCAGAAGTCCCAAATTGTAACTGACTCTTCAGCTATAGCCTAATTATGATCTAAGCATGTTTTGCTCGCTGTGCCTTTCTCATGAGACTCAGGCATGAACAGAGTGGCCAGGATGCTGTGGGCTTGGGCTGCAGGCCCATGTTTTAAGTTGTAACTTGCAGATTACTTAGTAGTTAGGCTGCCCAGATGCCTGCCCTGATGGGATAGGGACAGATACTTCTTGAGCTTGCCAGACACTATAGCTGCCAGCAGTCACAGATGTGTCAGCTCCGCACCCACGCTGCAGCTATTGTTCTGTAGGGGAGCGAGGAAATGATGTTCACAGTAGGCTAGGAACTGAGGGAACGCCCCAGAAGTCCATGTGGGGTAGGAGCAAGTGCCTTTGGGACTGCCAGACTAGATACCCACTGCCCCATCTCCATAGACCTTCTGTAGTTAGTGTTCTTTCAGTGAGGTAGCACTTGCAAGTCTACAGTGGGCTAGGAGCCAAGGGGAAATCCCGAGAGTCAGGTGTTGGAGAGTTGCCTCTCCCAGTACCATGTAATTTCCTGGTGATAGTGTTTCTCGGTTTTCCCCACTTTATCATGGGCTTTGTCTCACCTTCTTGTGGAGACCTGTATCATAAGGTCTTAGTTCTCTCCCAAGTGTAATTATCCCCTGGCTGATGCTGGTTTGCAAGGTGCATAGAAGAGATGACTCCAGACTTGTGCAGATCCTCCATCTTTCTCTCTGTTCAATCATTAGCAAATATTTTATTCACTGTTTGTTCCTGGGTATTTTCCAGCTTTTGGTGTTTGATGTTTTGTGCTTTTCTATAACTTGTCCATTTTTTCTGCCTTGATACTTAGATATGGACTTGTATTAGGTTATTTGTACATATATGACTAATTCTGTGCTTTATCCTTTTCCTTTACCTTGAGCCCTTTAAGACAGAGAATATTTCCTGTTTTTTCTTTTTCTTGGGCTTAACCCTAGATCCCTGGTATTTATAGAGAGAAAGAGTGATTGAGTAGAGAGTAGAGAGATCTAGTTTTAAATGATGCCTCTGTTGCTGATTTGCTCTGTAATGCTGAGGAAGATACTTAAGCTCTGTTTGAACCTTGGGTACTTTATCTTTAAAATGGGGATGTTCCGTTTCACATCTCAAGATTATGGAACAATTAAGTAAATTGTGATGTCAATCTATTTATTAATACATAGGTATGGGAAAAAATATTTTCTCCTGGTCTCCTTCCCTTGTAAGTATAGTACTGGTACCTAATTGATATTTCCTAAATGACTGACATTTTTTTTCCCCAGAAATCTGATCATACGGACATTTTGTATAGTAATATAAAAAGAAGACAGGAACCAAAAAGGTAAATTCCCCCAAACAAATAACTCTATTAATGTTTGCTAAAAACAAAAATCCAACTTGCCTCTGACTTTTCTTCGGTTTTTATTTTGAATTGTCTCCTTTTATTTAATGAAACTTTGCTTCTATAACATCTGCTAAAGTGTATTCTATTACAAATTTCATGTTATGTTGACTATCACTTTCTAAATTTTTCAATTCAGATTTTTAATGCCTTTTCAACTAGTGTCCTTTTTTAAAAAAATTGTTTTAAGTTCTAAGTATTTTTAAGTTCAAATATTTAAGTTCTGAATATTTTTTAAGTTCAATGGTTTAAGTTCAAGCAGAGTTCTGTTTGCTATTTCACAAATTATCTTTTGCTTAAAGGCACATTTCTGTAACCTAACCCTTAATTTTATTTCCATGTGTAAGAGTGTAAATAGACTTATGACCTATATACTAACCTTTACAGTTGTCCACAGAGTCTTTGGGAGGAGGAAGAAGTAATGTTGAATTCTTTTGAGAGTATTCTAAGAATGCAGTCAAAGTTCAAGTTGGTCTCAGTGTTTATTAAAAATCTGCTATCCGGCTTCAACTCTTGAAGTGCTGATAATTCAATGACTACTTTAAAAATTTGTTTTTCTTATATTGTTGTTTATTTTTGTACGGTATTTGATTTTTTCCCCTCAGGTATAGTTCTCCCATCACCATAGCACATGCAAGCCATCACCATAGTCCCTTGTGCTCTTCCCTTCCCTGTTTGACTCCTCTTCCTCCCCCTCCCTTGCTGTATGCTTCAGATCCATGGTCTGCTTGCAAGTTTAGTCTTTTTCTTGACCTTTTGTTCAGTTTCTCTATATTCCATATTTAAGTGAAACCACTTTTTCCTTTTGACTTGTTTTGCTTAGCATAATCCCTTCCACCTTCATCCATGCTGCCCAGATGCATGAGTTTATCTGTTTTGATTAGCTGAATAGCTTTCCATTGTGTATATATACTACAATGTTCTCATCCAGTCACCTCTTTTGGGACATTTAGGTTGTTTCCATATCTTAGCTGTTGAAAATAGTGCTGCAATAGACTTAGGAGTTCAGGGTTACTTTCGAATTAGTGTTTTTGTGTTCTTTGGGTAGGTTACTAGAAATAGAATTGCTGGATCATATGGTAGATCCATGGTTAATATTTTAAGGAACTTCCACACAGCTTTCCAAGGTGGCTGGACTGGTTTACATTCTCACCAGCAGTGTCAGAGGGTTCTTTTTTCTCTGCATCCTCGCCAGCATTTGTTGTTTCCAGTTTTCTTAATATGTGCCATTCTCACTATTGTGAAGTGATAACCTAATTTTGGTTTTGATTTCCCTGATAGCGATGTTGAACATTTTTTTCATATTGGCCATTTATGTTTGACCATTTGTGTTTTTCTTTGGAGATGTGTCTTTTTAGCTCTTCTGTCCATTTGTTTGTTTGTTTTTGCTTCTTAAAGATATATTTATTTATGCATACAAGAGCTGGGGTACAGGCCAGAGGTGTGGGGGTGGGTGTAAGAGGATTCACAGAGACAGAGTGGAAAACAGAGCAGGCAGACTGACTGAAATACACTGCTGAGGGAAGCAGTAAGCAAGACAGGAGAGGTCTGCCAAGCCATGTGGGTCACCTTCTCGGCCAGCCAGGCATTGAACTCTGTGCTGTAGAGGCTGCGGACAGCTTCACAGTGCTGTGCTTAACCCTTTGCGCCACCAGGGAGGCCCCTCTTGTGCCCATTTTTTGACTGGGTTGTTTACTTTGTTTTTGTTGTGTTGTGTAACTGCTTTGTAGTTTGTAACTGCTTTGATAGCAGTCTCTTATCAGTTTTATGGTGTGCAAATATTTTCCATTATTCAGTAGGATATCTCTTTGTTTAGGTTACTGTCTCTTACTGTACAGAAGCTTTTTAGTTTGATGTAGTCCCAGCTATTTATCTCCTTCATTTTCCTTGCTTCTGGGCATGAGTCCTCAGAGATGTTTCTGAAGCTGATGTCATGGAATATTTTACCTAAGTTCTCTTCTATATATTTTTATGGTATTAGGTTTTATATTTAAGCCTATTATCCATTTAGAGTTGATTTTTGTGTATAGTGTGAGATAGTAGTCTAGTTTCTTTTGCATGTGCTGGTCCAATTTTCCCAGCACCATTTATTGAAGAGACTATCCTTGTTCCAGTATATTCTTTGTCATAGATTAGTTGACCATATATGCATGATTTTATTTCTGAGCTTTCAGTTTGATTCCATTGGTCTGTGTGTCTGGTTTTGTTCTAAGACCATGTTGTTTTTATTATTATGGCTTTGTAGTATAGTTTGAAGTCTGAGAGCGTAATACCTCCATTTTTTCACCCTTTTTAGTCAGGAGAGCTCTGTTTATTTTTTATGATTCCACGTGAATTTCAGCAATATTTGTTCCATTTCTTTGAAGAATGCCATTGAGATTTTTATAGGAATTGCATTGAATCTGTAAATTGATTTTGATAGTGTGGCCATTTTGGTAATGTTAATTCTTCTGATCCATGGCCAGGAATATCTTTCTATTTTTTTGTGTCTTCTATTTATTTTAACAGTGTTTTGTAATTTTCCTTGTATAGGTCTTTCACCTCCTTTGTTAGGTTTATTCCCAGGTATTTAATTTTTTTTGTGCAGTCATAACTGGGGTTGTTTTCTTAATTTCTTTCCCTTTAGACTGATTGTGTGCTCATAGGAAGGCTACTGATTTTTGTGTGTTGATTTTATATCCTGCTACTTTACTAAACTGGTTAATTGTTTTAATTCATTTTTCTGCAGTTTTATTAGGATTCTCTTTATATATTTATCTATTGCCTGCAAATAATGATAATTTTATTTCTTCCTTCCCTATTTGGATTCCTTTTATGTTTTTCTCTTACCTAGTTGCTCTACCTAGGACTTCCAATATTATATTGAAAAAACAGTGGTGAGAATGGACATCCTTTCTTGTTCCAGATCTTAAGGGAAAGCTTTCATTTTTTCACCACTAGCAATGATTAGCTGCGGGTTTGTAGTATATGGCTTTTATTATGTTAAGATGTGTTCCTTTTATCCCAAGTTTCTTAAGCGCCTTCATCATAAATGGATGTTGAACTTTATCAAATGCTTTCTCAGCATCTAATGCTATGATCACATGGTTTTATCTTTCTTTTGTTGATGTGGTAAATTACATTAATTGATTTTCACATGTTAAACCATCCTTGTGTCCCTGGAATAAATCCCACTTGGTAATGTTATCTAATCCTTTTGATGCATTTGTTCGATTCAATTTGCTAAGATTTTAATGAGGATTTTAGCATGTATGTTCATAAGGGAGTTTGGTCTGTAATTTTCTTTTTTTATCTTGTCTTTCTTTGATTTTGGTATTAGTTTTTTTTTTTTTTTAAGATTTATTTTTATTTATTTATGCATACAAGAACTGGGGTGTAGGACAGAGGTGCTGGGTAGGGGGGGTGAGAGGATTCACCAGAGAATGGAGTAGGGAGCAAAACAGCCAGATGTACTGAAATACACTGCTGAGGGGAGCAGCGGGTGAGACAGGAGAGGTCTGCTGTGCCTTGTGGGTAGCTCCCTAGCCGGGGATGGAATTCATGCCACAGTGGCTGGCGATAGCTTGGTAGTGCTGAGACTTTAACAAACCCTGTGCCACAAGGGGGGGCTCTTGGTATTAGTTTACAGTTGGCTTCAAAAATATATTGGGGGGGGTGCCTCCCTGGTGGTGCAAAGGGCTAAGACACAACTTGGTGGTGCAAAGGGCTAAGACGCAACCTATGAAGCTATCCGCAGCCACTGCAGCACGAGTTCAATTCCCAGCCAGTCAGGCAGCAACCCACGTGGCGCAGCAGACCTCTCCTGACTTGTGCTGCTGCTCTCCTCAACAGTGTACTTTGGTCAGTCTGCCTGTTCTCTTCTCCACTCTGTCTCTGGTGAATCCTCTCACCCCCCCACTCTGGCCTGTACCCCAGCTCTTGTGTGCATAAATAAATAAATCTTAAATATATATATATTTAGAGAGGAAGTAGAATGGGTGGGAGAAATGGATAGGGGTCAATCTGATAGTGGGAATGGCACTAGTACTTTAGTGGGGACTGCGGGGAGGCAGTACACATATTGAGGTGTGTGGCTGTACTTGTGAAGTTCACATAGTAAAGTGGTACACCAACAAGATTTTATTTTTTAGGAAAAAAATCCATCCAATGATGGATTTTTGCTAATTATGACCGTTTGGACCATAGTGCTTTGATGTTTTTAGTTTGTGCGTGCATAATTATTTGAGAAGTTACTTATTTATCATCTCTTTCTCGCTGGACTGTAAACTATCCAGACACTTGAGGATTTATTGATAAATTATTGGATTGAGTTTCATTGAAATTTCCCCCCTTTCTTTTTGACTACAAAGTAGTATCTAATGAAGCAGGAAAATACTATCACCTCCAACTACTGCCACTTCTAACATTTTAGCACATTTTTTCCTACTCCTTTTCCTATGCTTATTTATTTATTTTAAAAATTTATTTATCGTTGTGTAGAAGAACTGGGTTGTAGGCCAGAGGTGTGGGGAGTGAGAGGATTCACCAGACAGAGGGGGGATCAGAATAGGCCGATTTACTGAAATACATTGCTAAGGGGAGCAGCTAGTGAGACAAGAGCGGTCTCCTGCACTGTATGTGGTTTCGCTCCCTCGCCAGATATTGAACTCGGGCCCTAGTGGTGATAGCACCTCTCTAGGCCACCATGAACGTCATTTAAGATGACTATATTTGATTATATTTGATAGAATGATGTTTCTTAGTCTTAGCCAAAATTTTACTATTTATTTTGTTCCTCCTGTTTTTTTTTGTTTTTTTTTGGGGGGGGGTTTGCAAACTGAATATCTTTTAATATATTTTCTTAGTGCCCTAATGATTTTTTTCACTTTTCTAAAGTTTTCTAAAATGGGAATTACTGGGAAATCAAAAAATATCAACACTTTTTTAGAATTTTTAATTATCTTGTCAAATTCCTTTGTGGTCATATATCATTTTTGCCTTTTTACCAGCTGCATATGAGAGGGTCTGCATTGTAACTCCTGGCCAGTATTTAATGTTATTTGAAAACCTGTGCTAATTTGATAGGGGAAAAAATGGTATGTTGTTATAGTTACCATGTCTGCAATTACTAGGGAAATCAAACTTTTGCTCCCAAATGTTTATTAGCCATTACCTTTTTCTCTTTCTTTTATGTCTGGTTGTCTCTTATTCTAGACTATTGGTATGCCTCTTGGGTGAGAATTTTGTGTACTAAGCTCTATATATATATATATATATATACACACACACATATATATATCAAATACCATTTCTCAGGTCTTTTACTATTTTTTTTTAATATTCCAAAGTTCTAAAGTAAATAGTCATTTACATTTACTATTTTACTTTGTGATTTCTCATACTGCTGTCAGTTTAAGAAATTCTCTGTTGAGAAATCAGACCAATATTCCCTTTTCCCCTGTAGTTTTTAAGGGTTTAATGTAAAGTATTGTAATTGTATTATTTGCTTTTACGTGTGTACACTATTTGGAAGTTATATTGTCTGATATTACATAAAGCTGTCAATGTATTGTCAAAAGGTATTTATATAATGCTATAAAATTTTTTGTATAGTAATCCATTATTCCAACACCACCTGTGGACCAATCCTTCCCACTTCATGCTTAATAAACCATTTCATATTTTTTAAGAAGTTCGTATTAGGCTGTTTCTCATGTTTTAACCAAAATGATACAGTGCAATGTTATGTACAAACATGTATAATTGTAATTTAACCTTGTTTCTGTGCTGTTTTACAGACTGAATGTAGAAACTGACATTCCAAGAAAGAGACCAAAAACCAGTTTTTCATCACAAGGATCTGTTAAACTCCAAGAAACATCATATTCAGATGATAATCAAATTATTTCACAGAGTCCTTCTTCAAATGGAATTAAAAAAGATATAAATAAATGTGTAGATTTTAAAATTAAAGATACTAAATTGACAAATGTTAAGAGTAAGCCTGACTATGGAATTAAAAACCTCAGCAGTCCTAAGATTGCCAAAGATGTAAAACCTAAAACTGAAGGCCAGACAGGTGAAAGAAAGTGTCCTCACTTACATGTTCGGAAGGAGATGATGAAAGAACTCAAGAAAGAAAGATACAATAAATTGAGAGATAGTTCTGAAAAATGTGCTTCAGAGAAATGCAAGAGGATCCAATTTTCTCAGGATTGTGCTTCCCACAAGATAATTAAGGAATCCCTTGAATCTAGAAGAAGGAAGATCAGTTTCAAAATCCCAGTAAAGTCCCGTGATACCTTCCAGAAGCTTGTAGAAGAAAATGTCTTCAATTTAGTTTCCAACAAATCAAAGACAAAGGAGGAGAAAAAAGAATGCCTGGAAAACTCCCATGTTTCATTAAATTTGAGGAAGCAGAGAAGTGAACATTTATTTTCAGGTTCCACATATAATCCAACTGTTCATGAGGGGGAAGGAAAATATTGTGAACATCGAGAAAGTAGTGACTCAAGTTCTCTTGAAAACCTAATCCAGGTAAGGTAGTGCAAGATGAAGACTATTGGCTTCAGCAAAGAGTTTTGATATAGTCAGGTTTGGATTTTTTCTAGCCTGGTACTGTAGATTTTTTTCTAGCCTGGTACTGGTACTTCTAAGCCCAGGTACTGTAGGACACCCAGAAATTAGTATTTTGAATAATTTGTTCCTTTACACATTATTTTTTGGTGTTACCGTGTGCTTGGCACTGCAATAAAATAACCTACAGGAGACAGCAGTCCCTTTTTCATTTGAGGAGACACATAGCAGTCATTTTAAATATGATTAGTACTTATCACTGACTATAAATACACATCAGGGGATTAACATGGCCTTGCTATACTCTTGAAGGATTAGTTAAGAAAGGTTTACTGGAAGGGGTAACATTTACACCGAGGACTAAAGAATGAGCTGGTGAAGGCCAGATGGGTGGGATGCAAGAAGCAGTGGTGTTCCAAGCAAAGTAAACTACCTATACAGAGATCCAATCTAGGAAGCTTGGCATATCTATTTTGCTTCTAAATTATGTTAATAAATTGGTATTTGTGGACTAGTTTGAGGACCTACCTGTGTTATAACATAACTGTGTTATAACCAGTTCTCTACAGTAGAATATAAAACAGGAACTTGAATTTGCCCAGTATGTTGTTAGTAAAACATTTCTACATATGATACACTTGTCTAAAGAGTATTTTATACCATAAATAGGCTAAAAGGCTTTGTTTAAAGAGTATTTTCTGTAAAATAGATGTGTTTGGTCTTATTTTGGAGACTTTTTAGATGATTTTGTTTAGTAGTGGTTTTTGCTAAGTTCCCTATTACTTGTACTTAAGGTCAAAAGTGTCAGTGAAAAAGTGGGATTAATAGAGAGGTTTTCAATCTCTGCTAGAAGACAAAAAATTAAAATGCAATCTGTGCGTTTTTCAACTTTTGCCCCACAGTCATATATTAATCTTCAAGTTCCTTTTATTGTTTTGTCATGTCACTTTAGAAATGGCTCAGTTCCTCCTGGAAAAAAAGTTACCACCACTGAAGGCCAATTTGTTTGCCTCTGCCATAGTTTCTTCTATTTCTTAGGGTGGTATCTAGTTTCATTCTTTAAATACTAGTATTCCTAGGATTGTGTATATGAATAAGTAAACCCTAAAGAATTTCTACTGTGACTGAATACTTTGAGCCTTTTCTAGTGGCAGTTTCTCATCAGGGAGTAATTTCAACCCTTAGGAGACATCTGGCAATTGGCTTGATGGAGACATTTTTGATTGCCAATTTGGGTGGGGTGGTGCTAATGGCATCTAATTGGAAGATGCCAGGGACGCTTCTTAATATCCTACAATGCACAGAACAGCCCTCAAAACACAGAATTATTCAATCCCATGTGTAAGTAGTCCCAAAGTTGAAAAACCCTGCTTTAGGTATATACTTCATTCCTAACTAATAATATATTTCTCATTTCAGAATATTGATGCTCCATGTTCTTCAGTGTCACTTGAAAATGTTCAAGATACAGATCAAGAGGTTATTGATATACTTATTTACTTTGAATATTTTTAATGAAATTAAGTCAAACAGTTCCTACTTTTAATAACAATAAAGATTATAAAAACCTTGGTAGTATGAAAATAACATTGATGTCTCTACTTAAATCTTATGTAAGTTTTTATGAAGTCATGAAAAACTGTTTGCGAAAGCATATTTACTTGTTCACTTTTTCTCCTTTGTTTCTAATAAGCTCTAATCTGTTTTTCGATGAGGAGCTTGCCAAAATATAGTGTGATAGTAACGTGTTTTTTTGCCTCATTTTTCTAATCAGCAGTAAGACATGCCATTCAGTGAAAATGAGAGTGCATGATAGTTTTTTTACCTTTTGTTTCATGTCTCAGCTAGAATCTCCTGATTGACCCTGATAGAATTACTGCATAAAATTTTATGTTCCCTGCTCCTAAATTAAAATTAGATTTATGGGACACTTTGTATTTCTCTATTTAAGGAAGACTTTAAAACCATATTGGTTGTTTTTCATTTGTGACAGTCAGTTGTATTTCTCCATCTTGTGGGTCAGTGCCCCTTGATAAGAGAAAGAGTTCTAGCCTGTGCTCTAAAATATTATTATATTTTCTTTACTTTCCATCAAAATGTATCAGGGAACTATTTTCATGATGTCAGTCATGAAAGTCTTAAGATCTAGATTTCAGTTTTTGAAATTGTAGAAATCTTAAGAGTGCCGTGCACAGATAAGAGCATATTTGGCTCCTGATGTACTTTGAAATGAGAATTTACTTATTTTGAAGATCTACTATCTACTGGGCTCTGTGCAAGGAACTCCACATTATTTCATTCAATCCTCCCCAAAATACTAAAAGGAAATAGAGATTTAGCTTTCCTATTTATAGATGAACAAAGTGAGATTCAAGATAGTTAAATTGTTTGCTTGCCTAAAGTTACAGAATAAGAGAAGCTGTTTTTAAAATCTTGGGTATGCTTATAAATCTGTGTTTTTTAAATCATGTTGCCTCTATATTCTTACCACCTGTTGTCTTTCACAAACCATTTTAACTTACATGGATTAAATTAAGAAGTCATTGCCTTTCTTGTTAATCTACAGAGTAAATAATTCAAAATTCTTCTTTGTGTGTCTTTTACAATTTAGATGCAGATAGTAGAAGAGCTTCATGCTGCACGTGTGGGAAAATGTGTGGATTTGCCTGTAGTTCCACCTTCTGGAGAGTTAATGAGTATGGAGATTGACTTAGTGGAAGATGATGGACATTCCTCTGCTGGTATATGCTATATGTATATCATAATGTCTATGATCTCCTATCCTCCTTAAGAGTTAACACACTAGGGCCTCCCCTGGTGGCACAGCGGTTGAGCGCTGGGCTGTGAAGCTGTCAATATTTGTGTTATTGACACAAATATTCTGAATCCTCTCACCCTCCTGCGCTTCTGACTGTACCCAGTGCTTGTATAAATAAATAAATAAATCTTTAAAAAAGAAAAAAGTTAACACACTAACATTCAATTTTTATAATAACTTAGATGAAAAATGTTAAAATGTACTTGTTTAAAATTATAAAGTATGGTATACTTCTTTTAGCTACAGGAATCAGGTGTACTACTTATTTGTTTTATGTATCTCATAGTATTCGACATATTTTCTCTTTCTCTTTTTTGCCATGGGGGAGTAATCAGATTTATAAGTTGTCTTTTTATTCTTGCTTTTAATCATGACTTTTAACAATTTCTACTATGTATTGATAAAAAATGAAAATTGCTTATGGATTTCTGATTTGTATAGTAAAATTTTTATCATTCTTACTACTCTGGGAAAAGGGAATGATAGAGATTATCCAAAATCTGTTTCTGATTGTGTTTATCAAAATAATAATGTTATCTTACATTTACATTGCATTTTTCAATTTATTAAGTGTTTTTCTGTGCATTAACTTACCTGGCATTGCTTCTTTGAAGTAACAATGCTAGTATTATTATCTATTTTCTTTCTTTTACACATGTTTATCTTTTCAATTCTTTTTCTCTCAGAATATATTAAAATTAGCTAATGATTCTTTTTTTTTTTTTTTTTTTTTTTTTTATAGAGGCATGTTTTTATTTATTTATTTATTTGTTTTATTTTGTTTACACATGCACTGGAGCACGGGAGGGTGAGAGAATTCACCAGAGCCAGAGTGGGGAGCAGAGCAGGCAGAAGGACTGAAGTACACTGCTGAGGGGAGCAGCGGGTGGCAGGAGAGGTCTGCGCACCATGTGGGATCCTCCTCCGGTGGCCGGGGAGCAGCCGGGGATCGAACCGGCACAGCAGAGGCCGCGGGCAGCTTCGCAACCCAGCGCTCAACCGCTGCGCCACCGGGGAGGCCCAAAAAATTAGCTAATGATTCTTAAATGTACAACTACCAGTGGTTAAGAATAGGACCTGACAATGTAGTTAAGCTCCAGGGCAAATGGTTTTTTTTTTTTTTTTTTTTTTTTTTTTTTTTTATAGAGGCATGCTTTATTTATTTGTTTGCTGGTTTGTTTGTTTGTTTTGTTTATACATGCACTGGGTACAGTCAGAAGTGCGGGAGGGCGAGAGAATTCACCAGAGCCAGAGCGGGGAGCAGAGCAGGCAGAAGGACCCAAGTACACTGCTGAGGGGAGCAGCGGGTGGCAGGAGAGGTCTGCGCGCCATGTGGGACCCTCCTCTGGTGGCCGGGGAGCAGCCGGGGATCGAACCGGCGCCGCAGAGGCCGCGCGCAGCTTCGCAACCCAGCGCTCAACCGCTGCGCCACCGGGGAGGCCCGCAAATGGTTTTTTATTTAAAATCCATCTATAAACAATTCATAATATTCTACTGGTGGATAATTAAACATTGATTGCTGCACTGTCTCTTAAGGATTGGAGTACTTTGTTTTGTTTTGTTTTGTTTTTTAAAGATTTATTTATTTATTTATACAAGAACCAGGGTATAGGCCAGATGTGCAGGAGGGTAAGAGGATTCACCAGATATAGAGCGGGGAACAGAACAGGCAGACTGGCAAAATACACTGCTGAGGGGAGCGGCGGGTGAGACAGAAGAGGTTTCTGTCGCGCCATGTGGGACCCTCGCCAACCAGCCAGGTTCGAACTAGCTCTGCAAACAGCTTCACAGCGCTGCGCTCAACCGCCTGCGCCACTAGGGGAGGCCCTGGAGTACTTTGTTTTTGTTGTTTGAAGAATGCTATCAAAGTTCTGTGATATCAACATTTTAGTAATTATGCAAGTCTGTTATCAAATGTAATGAAATACTAACATTGCTTTTTTCCAGCAAATACTGCTTCAGACAAAAAGCTTCTGATTGTTATTGACACAAATATTCTGATGAATCATCTCAAATTTGTTAGAATTCTGAAGACAACAGAAATCCCGGGTATGTATAAAGCATATTTACTGATTTTTTTTTTTTTACCTGAATTAATATTTTAACCATGATGTAGATTTTTTTCCCACAAATGAATTTTCATATGGGTATGCTATTAAGTATATACATATATGTATGCTATTAAGTATATGCATTATATATAGAAACATATATATGGTATAATCAAGTTATGTAAAAAGAAATGATTCTTCACAGTTTAACCTACCAATCTAAACTCATTTCTTTGATCTCCAGTAGTATTTATTTGCTCATCATTCTTTTGATATGTCTGTTTTTAATTTGCTTTTTTTGATGTATTGTCTCTTAATCTAGATTGTGAATTCCTTACTTTGAAATATTCAATTCTTTTACAGCAGCTCAATTTTGTAGCTCAATAAATATTTGTTGACTTCTTAGAAATCTTTTTATTTTTTAGGCTTTGACAAACTTGTGTTAATAATTCCCTGGGTTGTGGTGCAAGAGCTAGATCGTATGAAGGCAGGAAAACTGCTAAAACATGCCCAGCACAAAGCTATTCCTGCAGTTCATTTCATCAACGACAGTCTTAAAGATCAAGATAGGAGACTATGGGGTCAGTCAATGCAACTTGCATCTCAAAAACTTTGTAAGTATTGTTTTTTCTAGGTGCTTCCTGATTAAGATTTCTGTGGGTGCTGACTCATTATTAGAGGGAAAATGGTGAAAATCTTAAAAAAAAAATTATAACTCTTGGAGTATGAAATGACAGGACATAGTGATGGTTTGGGGTATTCTTTAGTATTGGTATGGTGGCCTTTGATTTTTATTTTTTGGCTTCTTATATTGTATCTGTATTACTTAGATATCTAGTAACGGTATATAGTTCTGTCTGCATGGTTATTTGCATTATAGTACTTTGGATTCTTTTTTTTTTTTTTTAAAGATTTATTTATGCATACAAGAGCTGGGGTACAGGCCAGAGATGCAGGGGATGAGAGGATTCATCAGAGACAAGTGGGGAGCAGAACAGGCCAATTGACTGCAATGCACTGCTGAGGGGAGCAGCGGGCTGGACGGGAAAGATCTGCTACGCCATGTTGGTTACCTCCCTAGCCAGGGGTCGAACTTGCACTGCAGTAGCTGCAGATTGCTTCATAGTGCTGACTCTTAACCCCTTGTGCCACCAGGGAGACCCCTGCTTATGCAGTTTGAGTGGAAACTTAGTGTGATATATTTAAGAGCTTTTAAAGGAAAACCATTATGGTGATACTCTGAAGTCCAGTATTAGACAGGGTTTCTTTGCTACGGTAGAAGGTAATTAGTAAAGTTCTAAGTTTTGCTCTAAGCATCTGTTTTTGTTCCTTCTAAAAAAAAAAAAAAAAGGAAAATACATACCACTTATTAGATTTTAAAAAAATTGAAATGTTTGAACATGTATTAAATTAGTCGTAGCTTACCTTTTTCATTTTACTGTTGATTACAAAAAATTTCAAATGCGCAAGTAGAGAGTATAATATAATGAACTTCTATGTACTTATCCTCATTTTCAGTAATTAGCAAACTTTTGTCATTCTTGTTTATTCTCATTTCCTTTTCTCATACTCTCCAAACTCCTGAAATTTCGTTAGTTTGAAACAAATTCCAATTATATCATTTTTACCCATGACTACTTTGGTATACATTGCTAACAGATAAGACACTTTTTAAACAGTCCCACAGTTAACAAAACTAATCCCTGATCTAGAGCATCAATCTAATAAAGCACCAATCCTTAAGAAGAGATGGGAATTTTGCTTACTCTTCTATTCTTTTTATTTTATTTCCTTAATCATTTATTCTTTTTAGTTTGCTGATACAAATTGTATTTTATTATATGAATATAGATAATAGTGATAATAATAGACAATACTTTTATGGCCATTTTTTGTCAGATCCTCTTTCAAGTGTTTTATAGGCTAGTACTTATGGAAGACTAGCCTCATTTTACTGATGAGGAAACAGGCACAGGGAGGCTAAAGAACTTGTCCTAGATGGATTATCTATTTCTTCAATAAGTTACTTTGAAAATTATTTTAAAACAGCTCATTTAGAATAGAAATTTTGGCCACATTTATTATTTATAGATGCTTGTTATATTACTTTTGACCTTTTCCATTTTTAGAAAGTACTTTTTTATTTTTATGCTTTGACTTCCTCTTCAGTCTGTCCTTTTTTCATAATTAAGAGAGATCATCAAAGCAATGGTTCCAAGCTCCTGTGCTGTTTCAATTTCTGAGGGTCTTCCCTGAAATTCAAATTTCATTTTAATGTTGATATGGAATTATTTGAGCTTAGTTTTCTTAAGTTGCTGAAGTTACTTTTAGTTACAGGGTTGTAGATGTAATATAGATTGTGTAACTAATCTTTTATGTGCTATCATTGTTTTCTATCAAACTGATCATTTAAGACAGCGTACTTAGTACATTTATTCTCCTAATAATGATTTTATAATAACTTCTGTCATTTTTATCATAATAAAATTTCATCTTGGGCTGCCCTGGTGATGCAAGGGGTTAAGTGTCAACACTGTGAAGCTGTCGGCAGCCACTGCAGCATGAGTTCGGTTTCCCGCCAGGTTGCTAACCCACATGGTACAGCAGACCTCTCCTGACTTACCCACTGCTCCCCTCCGCAGTATTTCAGTAGATCTGTCTGTTCTGTTCCCCACACTGTTTCTGGTGAATCCACTCACCCCCTGCCCCCCCCAATCTTTGGTCTACACGCTGCAGCTCTTATCTGCATAAACAAATAAAAAAAAAATTAGATCTTTTTTTGTAATGATAAGCTGAAATTCTTATGAGAAACTCAATTCTGGATTGTTGAGTCAAATTAAAGTAACTTGTTTGGACAAAGGCAAGAACAAAATGAATTTTTATTATATTTCACATCTGTCATGCATATTTGCAGACAATTCTACTTGCTTATTTTGCATGCATTACTTTCTTTTACTTGAGTTTTATAACAGTGTGTCTTTTATACAAGCTTTTTTTCATTAAAAGAAAAATGCCACAAACTGAATGAAGATAGTCCACCTTGACTGTAATTTCAGCCTTGTCCTTAACTCTTTTCAAAATTGCATTTAATTGATGTAGTATTTATTATTGTGAGGGGAGCATAGGATTTGAAATCTGATTAGGCTGAGTTTATAAACCTGAGTTGGGGAAAGTTAAAAGGGAAGGAATGAAATGGGGGTGAATAACCTATAGGTCAAAAATTGTTTGTGAAGGTTGGTTAAGTTACTCTATTAAGGCACTTAATGACCCCTATTACATGAAAAACACAGATTGATAAGAAAAACTGAAAATCCCGTTCCCCCAAAATGGACAAAGACTACTAATAAAATAGATCATTCATAAAGAAACAAGTACAACTATTTAGCCCTTTGTTCATTGCGAATAACTTCAGTTTTCCTTTTCCAATGTTTTTAATTTTTATGTATAAAAATTTAGTTTTTATTGTCACTTCTTCCTTTGATATTTCATTTTTCTTCTGAATGTAGAATGTTACTCCTTTTGAAGACCCACCTAGGAGCACTTAACAGTGCTTATTTACTTGCTTTGGGAATATGAATTTGTAACTTTTCAGAAGAGCACTTTAGCAGTGTGTATCAAGATGTCTAAAGATACATTCTCTAGGGCCTCCCTGGTGGCGCAGGCTGTTGAGTGCAGCACTGTGAAGCTGTCCACAACCTCTGCAGTGCGGATTCGATCCCAACCAGCTGCGGAGATACCCACATGGCGCGGCAGACCTCTCCTGTCTCCCCAGCTGCTCCCCTCAGCAGTGTATTTCAGTCAGTCTGCCTGTTTTGTTCCCTGCTCTGTCTCTGGTGAATCCTCTCACCTTCCTGCACATCTGGCCTGTACCCCGGTTCTTGCATAAAAATAAAATAAATCTTTAAAAAAAAACATTTTCCAGAAATGTATCCTAAAGTGATAATCAGAAATGCCCACAGTTATTTATTTGAAAGTTTTCATCACGGAATTATTTATATAGCAAAAAAAATGGAAACCAACCTGACTGACAATTGGGGAAGCTAACATGCAATGCTTTGGTCATATGAGAGAATACTGCATTTTGAAAAATGTTTATATTAAACAAAACAAGATTTAAAAGAATAGAAAGTACAATCCCAAATTTGTATCCTTATAGATGGTGAACATTAGTTATATTTAACTGGTGCAATTATGTCTTATGTTAATTTTCTTTATGTTTTTGAAATTTTTCAGATTTTTTATAATCATTTTTTAAAAAGATTTATTTATGCATACAAGAGCTGGGGTACAGGCCAGAGCTGGGGATGGTGGTGAGAGAATTCACCAGAGACAGAGTGGGGAACAGAACAAGCAGACTGAAGTACACTGCTGAGGGGAGCAGCGGGTGCAACAGGAGAGGTCTATTGCGTCATGTGGTTTTCTCTCTGGATGGCCAGGGATCAAACTCGTGCTGTAGAGGCTGTGGATTGCTTCATAGTGCAGTGCTTAACCCCTTGTACCACCGGGGAGGCCCTGTAATCATTTTATTATAATAAGTTAAATTTAAGGACAAAAATAAAGATACCTGCCATCTCCCCACTGACATTTTTTTCACCATTTTTATGCTTTAGAATAAAATTAATTCATTATTTTTTGTTTTTAAGTACTTTTTTCTTACATTGTTAATTTTTGTACAGTATATGATTTCTCCCCTCAGATGTAGTCACCACAGTTCCCACCAGAGTATTCTAGTCCATCATCATATTCTCTTGTGCTCTTCCCTCCAACCCACCATCCCTTCCCACTTCCCTCTTGGATGCTTCATATCTGTGGTCAGCTTTCAAGGTTTTTCTTTGACACTTTGTTTGGTTTCTCTACATTCCACATTTAAATGAAACCATTTGATACTTATCTTTCCCCATCTGGCTTATTTTGCTCAGCATAATCCCTTTCAGCTCCATCCATGTTGCCTCAAATGGCATTAGTTTATCTGTTTTGATTGCTGAGTAACATTCCATTTTGTACATATATCACATCAGTCATCTGATTCGGAGCGTTTAGATTGTTTCCGTATCTTGGTTATTGTAAAGAGTGCTGCAGTAAACATAGGAGTGCAGGTTTCCTTTAGAATTAGTGTTTTGTGTCCTTTGGATAGGTTCCTAGGAGTGGAATACCTGGGTTGTATGGCAGATCCATTTGTAGTGTTTTGCGGATTCTCCACACAGCTTTCCATAGTGACTGCTGCAGTTTACATCCCCACCAACAGTATAAGAGGGTTCATTTTTCTCCACATCCTCACCAGCACTTGTTTTTGTTTGTTTGTTTGTTTGTTTGTTTTTTCACATAAGCACTGGGTACAGTCAGAAGTGCAGGAGGGTGAGAGAATTCACCAGAGCCAGAGCAGGGAGCAGAGCAGGCAGAAGGACTGAAGTACACTGCTGAGGGGAGCAGCAGGCGGCAGGAGAGGTCTGCGCACCATGTGGGACCCTCCTCCAGTGGTCCGGGAGCAGCCAGGGATCTAACCCGTGCTTCAGAGGCTGATGGGCAGCTAAGGGCAGCTTCGCAACTGGAGGCCCCTGTTTGTTTGTTTTTTTAATGTGGGCCATTCTCACTGGCGTGAAGTGGTATCTTATAGTGGTTTTGATTTGTTTTTACTGATAATAAGTGATGGTAAACCTTTTTCATTTGCCTGTTAGCCATTTGCATTTCTTCTGTGGAGAAGTGTCTTTTAAACACTTCTCCCCATTTTTTAATTTTATTTATTTATTTATTTATTTTTGAGTTGTGTGAGCTCTTTGTAGATCTTTGGTATCAGTACCTTATCAGTCTGGTATCAGGTGTATGGTGTGGGAGTATTTCATTAAGGTGTCTCTTTGTTTTGGTTGCTGTTTTGTCTGTCTAGAAGCTTTTTAGTTTGATGTAGTCCCAGCTGTTTATATTTTACTTACTTGTGGAGATGAGTTCTCAAAGGTGTTTCTGAAGTTATGTAATGAAGTGTTTTGCCTATGTTTCCTTCTATATATTTTTAGGTGTCAGGCCTTACATCCAAGTCTTTTATCCGTTTTGAGCTGATTTCTGCATATGGTGTGAGGTAGTATAGTAGCCTAGTTTCATTCTTTTGCATGTGACATCCAGTTTTCTTAGCATCATTTAGAGAAGAGACTCCCTGTTCCAGTTTATATTCTTTGTTCCTTTGTTATATATAGGTGACCATATATGTCCCACCAGACATTTGTTCCATTATTTATCTTAAGTCTTTGTTGATTCATTACCAAATATTTATACCTGCAGCATTGGGGCTGTTCTGAGTGTTGGTGCAACAGACAAAACCTGTTATCAAAGATCTTCAATTCTATTAAATATTAAAAATATTAGCTATAATTATATGGAATTAATTTTGGTGTTATATATGAGTAAAAGTCATTGCTGCTGAGGTGCCAGCTAAGCTGAGTCTAAATTAGTATGTATATATTACTTAGACAGCATTTGCTATTACCATATACTGGGCGAAGTTCTTCATATAAATTTTTTCATTTAATTCTTATAGTCAAGCAGTTTACCCAAGATTACACATGTAGTCCATGGGAAAGCAGGGTTTCAAGCTTGTCTGCTAAATTGAGTTGCTTTAAATTTTGAGCCACCCATTTTCATTATTGTAGTATTTATACTGCAGACTAAAAGGAAGAAGAATGATGATGTAATACATGTCTGTCTGTCTGCTTCTGTTGTTTGATTAAACAACTGAGCTACATCTCCTTCAATTTCATTCAGAGTTGGATTGAGCCCTTTCTACCTTCATTATGATACTGTGAGCTACTGAAGAGTTTATTCATCTTTGCATGTCCAGTTACTTAGTACAGGGACTTGGCACAAAATAGGCCCTATATAAATTTCATTGTGTGAATGAATGAGTTTTCTAATTTGAATGTTTAGAGGACTAAGCAATATAGGATAAAAGTTGGGGGGGAAAGGTTATAATCTGGGAACAAAATTGAGGCTCATTGATTAGTATGTCTTGAACTTTAATACCATAAGGCTCCATGAGGGCTTAAATTTGAGGGCTTAAATTTAATCTTTGGATCCAGGCTGCAAAGATTGTTACTGGGACGTGAATTTGGAGTGTGGTACTGCGCTCTGTATTATTGACAATTTACTTAAGAGAGTTCTGAGGCAGGTAGTGTAAGGACCTGTGAGAAATACCATCTTTGGTTCTATTTCTACACATTGTATTATTTTCACAAAAAACCCAAACATTTCCTAGATGCTTTAAGACTTGGAGAATTCTAGAGGACACCCTGTCGGTCACAGAGTAAAATCTGTCAGAAATTACTTTGTGTGTTTATGTATTGCTTCCTCCTATAAATCTCTTAATGTTACTGCTTAAGAGAGTAAGGAAAAGAGACACATGAAAATGGTTATGCTGTTGGTAGAGAAGTTGCTTATTAGTGTATAAAATTCTTTTTAAGTTTTGAGATCATTTTAAGCTGACATAATCATATAGTTTACTTATAATCCCTTACTGAATTGAACTTGAATTCATAACTTTGGGTTTCTAGTCATTTAACCTGTGGATCACATTTTGTTGTGTTTATTCATAGGTATATCCTATTCCATTTTAGTAATAAACTAACACTTTACTAAACCCTCTACTATATGCTTCCTGAATTTTACATCCAAAATTTTCAAGGCATTACTTTGCTGTGCATTGTCGTCGTCTTTTCATTTAAAAAGTTTATTTTCTTTTTAGATGTTGATTTATAGTCACAGCCTAGATTGTTTATATAGTACCCAGATTTGTAGTACCCATTGTTTACTGACCATTTCTTTTGCTAAATTTGCAGATGGATTAAGTGATGAAAATAATGATGATCGAGTATTAAAATGCTGTCTTCAATACCAGGAATTATTCCCTTGTTCTGTTGTTATACTGTGCACGTGAGTCTCATAGTAATTTTATTTTTTTTTTAACAATAGAGACATAACAAGAACTTTTAAAAATCATATTGTATACAACATACCAAGGATCAAAACATATAACTTTCTAAATCTGCCAAGTAAAAATACTCAGTTATAGCTCACATTTCTAAAGTGTGTAATCTATAGAAAAATGAGATTTGAATCTTATGTAGCAAAGTTTCACTCAATTTAAATTATGTAATATTCAGAGAACTCTTGAAAAATCAGAGGAAAGTCAATTTAACACCCCAATGAATAGTTCTCAAAGAAAAATATCTGACAATTTAGTGGTTACGAGTCAAGTTTTGAAACTTTTATTATGGAGAACTTCAACAATATTGAAAGTAAAGAAGCATTAATGAATTATGTACTAGATACAACCGTTATCAAAATTCTGCTATGGTGTTATTCATACCTTCATCCACTCCCTGTCCCCCTACATGGTTATGTTTAAGCAGTTCTTTGTATTTTGAGGAAAAATATACATTTATTGGAATGAACGAATCTTAACTAGACAGTGTTAATAATGCATACACTAGTGTAGTCCACATCCTTTTGAATATATAGAATATTTGCATTATCCCAGAAAGTATTTCTGTGCCGCTTTGTGCTCTTTTCCTACTTTCTTAAGGTATAAAATTAGATCGTGTATTTGAAACTCCTATAAATTTTTAAGCACAGCTTTAATTGCATTCCACAGATTTCAATATGTTGCACATTTATTTTCGTTCAATACATTTTATAATTTCCCTTGTGACTTCCTCTTTGACCCATAGGTTATTTAGATGCTTTTTCTTGATTCCAGATATTTGCAAATTTTCCAGTTATCTTTTTGTTTCTTATTTCTAATTTAATTATGTTGACTTAAGAGCACAATTTATATCATTTCTATTCTTTTACATTTGCTAAAGTTTATTTTATGGTCAAGAATATGAGCTACCTTAGTGAATGCTTTATGTACACTTGGAAAGAATATGTATTTTGCTCTTGTGATTGGAGTAATTCTGCACATTTCAATTAGGTTATATTGGTTGATAGTATTGTTTGGGACTTCTATAGCTTTGCTAATTATTCACCCACTTGTTCTATGATTACTGACACAGGACTATTAGAATTTTCAACTATAAACGTGCATTTATCCATTTCTTCTTTCAGTTCTATTTGTTTTGCTTCATGTATTATAGAGCACTTTAGGAGAATTGGCCCCTTTCTCATTAGATAATGCATCTCTTTGTCTCTGATAATATTCCTGGTTTTGAAGTCTTTATTTAGTATTAATATACCTATTATCTTGGTATATCACTTTCCATCCATTTACTTTTAACCTATGCTAAATTTGTCTGTCTGATTTTGCATGCTATTAACTTTTTCTGTTAAAACCTTTAGCACATTAATCACATTATTTTGGTCCTGAAACCAGGGAATGAATTAATCAAATTGTTTTAAGTCCCCTGTCAGATACCTTCAACATCTGTGTCTTTTCTGAATATGAGTCTGTTGATTACTTTCTATCTTGGCAGTGTGTTGTTTTTTTCTGGACAAAATTTATATGCAGATTTTAGGGCTCACCTGCTCTGTGTTTTCTTTCCTTCTTCAGTTTCTCTCTTAACTTTCTATCTGTTAGCCAGTCTTGAACATTGTCTTAGGACATTTAAAGCTCTAAAGCTTTGTGAATTTCCATTGTCACTAAATCATTGATGATTTAGGGATTGCCCCCACGCAAAAAGATAGACACTTGTAGCTCTCATCAATATAATTTTTGTGTCTGGAGGTATGTTTGGATAAGTCATTTTACCTCTTTACATTTCAGTTTGTCATCTTTGAAATGGAGATAAATAGTGCCACTCCTACCTAAGATGTTTATTGTGATAATTAAATGGATTGATTGAGAGAGAGAGAGAGAGAGAGAGTGGTGTGTTGCTTAGAAAGTGCCTGGTATTAGGAAAAGTTAGTGAATCATAATTATTTTCCTCAAAAGCTCATGTAATGTTACTCTGTTGTATGCTCATTTCTTCTTTGTTAATATTTATGTGGAGAATCACCAACCTCTGATTAGATCCCGTGTGTTTTCAGTTACTGTGTTACTTATCTTATAAAAATATTTTTTCCTCTTAACCCCAACCTTAGGGATGATAGAAATTTAAGAAACAAAGGCCTTATAAGTGGTGTGAAGTCACTCAGTAAAGAAGAATTGAGTGCAGAGTTATTAAACTTATCTCTGAACACAGATGTATGTCATCAACCTTGTATATCTAAGCAACAATTGAAAGAAGGTAGTATTCTTACTGTGAATAACTAGAAATATACGTATTTTTGCATTAAGATTTTTGGTAACAGTTGTAATTAATACTAAGTTTTCATCATGTATATTTAAAATAACATGATTGGGAATATATGCTGGAATGTAAATGTTAGAAATAAGTGAAAACTATAATGGTAATCCAAAAGCTAGCATAGTTAACATTATTGCCTTCTGCATATACTTTTATGAATTAATTTGAGATTTTATACACTTATTCATTTTTATGTATTTATGATTACTGTGTGCATGCTGTTTATACATTGCAGACTATACCTTTTAACTAAATACTAGCTGTAGGAAATGTTCACTTAAGGTGCAGAAAATTTAACTGCTTTCTTTTTAAAATCAGCCTTATTTTCATAACTTTCTATTACTTAAAAAAACTAAAGACCTTACTGTTGCTTGTCTCTTTTCAACCAGAATAATTTGTTTTATAGTTTGATATTTGATGGAATATTATTGTTAAATCTGACATTATTTAAAAATATATTCTACCTTTTCCCTCTGTGGGGAAGATAATTATTAAAATGTCTAATATTGCAAGTACTTTTTATATATACTTACATACAAATCATATATACATATACCATTTATTTGATCTTTTTGATTACCAAAAAAAAAAAATCTTTCTTTTATCATAATATTCAATGGTATTTAGAAGGAGTAAGGGATATTTTAGTTTGTTGTTTTTCAGGAGTAACATGCCTTTAGTTTGGTGTGTTACTATCATTTTAAATTCTTAGTTTGTATTTATAGAGATAAGTCACTTAATACTTGTAATTTGGCCATAAAGAAATTGCACTTGCAATTGCAATTATCAAGATAGTAATGTTAATGTTATAATATCAGTTGAAAAAATAAAAGCTCTTTTTGAAAGGGAAAGCATAAGCAGTGGTTAAGGCTGAGACTTTGGTCTTTTTAAAACAGTTTATTGATGTGGGCTATGATTAGAAGAATACAGTTTTTGAAAAATAAAACACATTTTGATCCTTGGTTTTCTTTAGGTGCAAAGTATTCTTTCCCCCCCCCCCCCTATTTGATAATAATATAATTAAAGTTGCAAAGCACCATAACATTTCTTCAATTCCTACTTGTAAAAATATTTCCTTGCCTGTTGTCAAAAAGACAGAGCATTTGCTGGGCCTCCCTGGTGGCGCTAGGGGTTAAGACGCAACCTATGAAGCTATCTGCAGCCACTGCAGCACGAGTTCCATCCCTGGCCAGGGAGCTACCCACATGGCACAACAGACCTCTCCTGACTCGCCTGCTGCTCCCCTCAGCAGTGTATTTCAGTCAATGTGCGTGTTCTGTTCCCCAGTGTCTCTGGTGAATCCTCTCACCGCCCCCCCCATCTCTGGCCTGTACCCCAGTTCTTGTATGCATAAATAAATAATGATTTTTTAAGATTTATTTATTTATTTATACAAGCACTGGGTACAGTCAGAAGCGCAGGAGGGTGAGAAAATTCACCAGAGCCAGACTGAGGACTAGAACAGGCAGACTGACGAAAATACACTGCTGAGGGGAGCAGCGGGCGCGACAGGAGAGGTCTGCGCCCCTTGCCTGCGGCCAGGTATCGAATGGGCGCTGCAGAGGCCTCAGGCAACTTCATAGCCCAGCGCTCAACCGCTGCGTCACCAGGGGAGGCCCTAAATAAATAAATCTTTAAAAAAACAAAAAGCATTTGTTAAAGTAATATATTTGTGTTGCATCTAAAACAAATAGACTGGAGATACCTGTTTCTAAATATTGTTTTTAAAAATGAAAGTGCTAATTTATTTTCTAGGTTATTTAAATATTTAAATACTAATTTTTTATAGCCAAATATTAATTATATATACTTAAATATTATGTAAATGTAATATTGATGGTTTTAATTAGTGTCCTAAATGAAGCTTGTAATTATTTGTTTTAAAGAAGCAACATCTCTGCAAGAGAGCTATGAAGAAGAATCAAAAAATTCTGGACTATCCATTTTACTTGAAAGCATTATATCTGATCTTGAAAAATCCCTTGGAACAGCTTTATCTTCAATATTAGAAACAGAAATGAAAATTGCTTTTGGAGACCTTTGGATGGAGGTGATTATTTCAGTTCAATTACCAGAAAATTTCTTTTGTATTTTTATATATTTGTTCCTTTTATTGTGATAAATACATAAAATGCATAAGCTTTATTGTAATAATCTATATCACGCTGTATTTCCTCTTGAGTTTTGAAACAACATTTTGCAAATGAAGTGATGGGCATTCCCGAAAGATCAGGATTATGTTTTTCTTTTGTTTTTTTTCAGCACTTTTTTTATACGAATATTGTGTGTCAGATACACTGCACCCATGGAGCTTCAATGAACTTCATAAAAATTTCTTTCATATTTAGTTTATTTGAGTCAAAATGTTTAGTGTAGGAATTTTCCCTAGCAATATGTATTCAGAGAGAGAACTGTATATTTTGACTTATGTCTTTTAATATGAGAATCATAGTATAAATTTATTTACATTAGCAAGATATTTACATTAGCAAGGTCTTTTGATTTTCTTTAGATTCACATCTTTTCTGAAGTCGGTTTGCTTGCCATTTGTTTTATTTCCCATCAATTGTAGATTGTGTCTATTCCAGATATTGACTGAGAGGTTAATATTTGCCAACATACTGTGTGTGCTGGTTAATTATCTTATCAAATGTTGAACCAAGATGATGAAGAGTGATCAGAAGATGCTAGGAGAGTTGACTTTAAGTAATTGCATATGAGTGATTTAGAAGAAGGACATGCAGACAGTTTGTAATACTAAATGATCAATCTTCTTTATGAACATGTTTTTGCAAGAGTATAGTGTCAATTATTAGTTATGTACAAAGTAATTAGATTTACCTCCTCATAGAAATGCTGTGTTGAAAAATAGATTGAAGATCTTTGCTAACTAGAACTATTCCTTCTTTTTTGTACAGATTTAGAAACTGTACTAATAAGAATTTTACAAAAGCATTTTTCAGTAGAATTAGTATTTCATTGGCTTTTAATAAAATGCCTTTTCTTTAAAAAGAATTCAACTAACTACTTTACCCTGAAATATACATAAGAATTCCTCAATAAGTACTTTAATCACAGGAATAATAAATAAGTAGATATTAATTTTTTTTCTAATTTATTTTTAGATGCTATACTTGAAACCACCATGGACTCTAATACATTTATTACAGTGCTTTAGAAAACATTGGGTGGCTGTATTTGGATTAATTATGGAAAAGAATTTGCTTTTAACCATTGAGAGCCTATATGAAAATCTCTATAAAGGTATGAATCTTTTTTATTTTGTCTTTATCAGTGTTATGTTAAAATGTTAAGTTAGACTAGCAGATATTGCCCGTGGAATATGAGGATGAATTAATTCAAAATTGGTTAATTAGTTTTTAACTATTTATATTTCTAATTGCAAAAGGGAATTTGTGTTAGCTGGATGACTGGATGTAGTTTATAAAATTTGTGACTGTAATGGTGATACTGTTGTTATTCCTGGATATTGTGAATATATAATTTTTAGTAATATTTGAAAACTTTTAAGCCATATTTTAATATTTGAGTATGCAAATAGAATTACTCAGATTTTTTTCATTTCTCACTATGTTTAGCACAAATACTTTACGACATTTCATGTGCTAATTTAAAAAATAGTGTCTTAGGTTTCTGTTTAAATATTTGGATAAGTAATATTTGCCTTGTTGCATAGTGAATTTTAGAACTGGAAGAAATCACCATCATTCAATTGCTGGAGTTTAAATATGCCACACAGATCCTTAGGCTTCTTGTGTTTCCGAGCTACCACAGGTTGACATGGGTGGAAAGGCTGATGGAATATCTTGTAGGTAATGGGCCTTTAGCCCTTAACTCCAGTTTTAACTAAGCACTTTTATTTTATTGTGTATGTGTGGAGAGTCCATGTAAGATTTGAATATGAAAGACTCTGAAAGAAAAAATGTGAAAAACACTGATCTAGGGTTATTAAAGCCCATGTTTTCAATTAAGGAAACTAGCACTGATAGAGTAAGTGATTTGTCCCAAGTTACACCTTTAAGAATGACAACTGGAACCATTACTGGGTATCAGTTGGTTAGTGATTTTTTTCTAACTTTGAACATGGAGTGAATCTGTCTTACTTTCTTTATGTATTAGTTATATCCAATCTGTTTTTAAAAAATAACTGTGGGGAGCCTCCCTGGTGGCCTAGGGGTTAAGTCTCAGTGCTCCCACCTTAAAGACCTACCGCAACAGCCTGTTTCACCCCCTGCTCCCCTTAGCAGTGTATTTCAGTAGATCTGCTTGTTCTGCTCCCCACTCTCTTCTGGTGAATCCTCTCACCCCTACACCTCTGGTCTACACCCCAATTCTGTGCAAAAATAAATTAATAAGTAAATATCTAAAAATAATTTAAAAATTGTGAATACAAGCGGGCCACTAACAACTTGAGTACTTGAATGTTTGAATTAAATTTTAAAGGTCAAAGAGTCAGATAATGAAAAATAAGAGATAATTTTATCACAAAATGTGTAGCACTTGAGCACAGATTTTTAACACCAAGATTCCTGGAAGCTAAAGACAAAACAAAACCATAATCTCTTTCCCTGAAATTATAAGCAGTTTGAAAAATGTTTTCTAGCTTAAAAAGTTTCCTTTAAGGGATTTAAAAATCTTACTGGGGGCTTCCCCTGTGGTGCAGTGGGGTGAACGCAGTACTATGAAGCTGTCTGCAGCCTCTGCAGCGCAGGTTCTATTTCTGGCTGGCCAGGGAGATACCCACATGGCATGGCAGACCTCTCATGTCTCACCCGCTTCTCCCCTCAGCAGTGTATTTCAGTCTGCCTGTTCTGCTTCCCACTCTGTCTCTGGTGAATCCTCTCACCCTCCCGCGCCTCTGACCTGTACCCCAGCTCTTGTATAAATAAATAAATCTTTTTTAAAAATAATCTTACTTGGTATCTCATGAAGTGGTAGGTGTTGTGTGAATGTTTATTTTTAAATGTTACCCATTTTTTTTTTTTGAGGTATTGAACATCTTGTTTTTATTTTTTTATTTTTTTTTAATAATAAATTTTATTTTTATATTCCCCATACAATTGCAACCCCCCCATTCTGATCCCAATCCCTCCCCTCCCGCCCCCACCCCCCCAAAAGTGTCTCTGTTTCATAGTTTTTTGTTGATTCTGATTTTCACTTTCTTATAGTTATTCATTTTCTTGGTCCCTTATTTAAGTTTTCTAGATTCCTGCTATGAGTGAGACCATCCGGTATTTTTCTTTTTCTTTCTGGCTTATTTTGCTGAGCATGATCCCTTCCAGCGCCATCTATGTTGCTGCAAATTGCATGTGTTTATCTTTTCTGAATGCTGAGTAATATTCCATGGTGTATATGTACCACATCTTCTTGATCCAGTCATCTATTTTTGGGCATTTGGGTTGTTTCCAAAGCTTAGCTATTGTAAACAGTGCTGCTATAAACATAGGGGTGCAGGTGTTCTTTGGAATTGATGTTTCTGTGTCCTTTGGGTAAATACCTAGGAGTGGAATTGCTGGATCATATGGAAGCTCTATGTTTAGTAGGTCCAGAAATCTCCACACAGCTCTCCATAGTGGTTGGACCAGTTTGCACTCCCACCAACAGTGCAGAAGCGTTCCTTTTTCTCCACACCCTCGCCAACATTTGTTGTTGCTAGTTTTTTTAATATGTGCCATTCTCACTGGTGTAAGATGGTATCTCATGGTAGTTTTGATTTGCATTTCCCTGATGACAAGTGATGTTGAACATTTTTTCATATGCCTGTTGGCCATTTGCATTTCCTCTTCAGAGAAGTTTCTTTTTAGCTCTTCTGCCCATTTTTTGACTGGATTATTTTCTTTGTTGTTGTTGAGTCTCATCAGCTCTTTGCAGATTTTTGTGATCAGTCCTTTATCATTAGTGTTGTGTGCAAAAATGTTCTCCCAGTTGGTGGGGTTTCTCTTTGTTTTGGTTATTGTCTCTTTTGCTGTGCAGAAGCTCTTTAATTTGATGTAGTCCCAGCTGTTTATCTTTGCCTTCACTATCACTGCTTTGGGTGATGTGTCTGTAAAGATGTCTTTGATGTGCAAATCACGTAGTGTTTCGCCTATATTTCCTTCTATATATTTTATGGTTTCAGGTCTTATGTCTAGTTCTTTAATCCATTTTGAGTTGATTTTTGTGTATGGTGTGAGGTAGTGGTCAAGCTTCATTCTTTTGCATGTAGTGACCCAGTTTTCCCAGCACCATTTATTGAACAAACTTTCTTTGCTCCAATGCATAGTCTTTGCTCCTTTGTCAAAGATTAGTTGACCATAAATCTGTGGGTTTATTTCTGGATTTTCTATTCAATTCCATTGGTCTGTATGTCTGTTCTTGTTCCAATACCATGCAGTTTTGATGATTATGGCTTTGTAGTATAGTTTGAAGTCTGGGAGTGTGATGCCTCCATTCCCTTCTCTTTTTTTCAGGAGAGCTTTGGCTATTTGGGGTTTTTTGTGATTCCATATGAATTTCATCAATAATTGTTCTATTTCTTTGAAGAATGACATTGAAATTTTGATTGGAATAGCATTGAATCTGTATATTGCTTTTGGTAGGATGGCCATTTTAATAATGTTTATTCTTCCAATCCATGAGCAGGGGATGTCTTTCCATTTCTTTGTGTCTTCTTCTATTTCTTTTAACAGTGTTTTATAGTTTTCTTTGTATAGGTCCTTTACCTCTTTTGTTAGATTTATTCCCAAATATTTGATTTTTTTTGTTTCAATAATAAAAGGGATGGTTTTTTTTTATTTCTTCTTCAGATTTATTGTTTGTGTATAGGAAGGCTACTGACTTTTGCGTGTTGATTTTGTATCCTGCCACTTTACTGAACTGATTGATTGGTTGAATTAGTTTTTCTGTGGAGTTTTTGGGGTTCTCTACGTATATTATCATATCATCTGCAAATAGTGATAGTTTGACTCCTTCTTTTCCTGTTTGGATTCCTTGGATGTCTTTCTCTTGTCTTGTTGCTCTGGCTAGGACTTCCAGTATTATATTGAAAAGCAGTGGTGAGAGTGGACATCCTTGTCTTGTTCCAGATCTTAATGGAATTGCTTTCAGCTTTTCACCATTGAGAATGATACTGGCTGTTGGCTTGTCATAGATGGCCTTTATGATGTTGAGGTATGTTCCTTGTATCCCAAGAATTTCAAGGGCTTTTATCATGAATGGGTGTTGCACTTTGTCAAAAGCTTTCTCAGCATCTATTGATATTATCATATGGTTTTTATATTTCTTTTTGTTGATGTGTTGGATAACGTTGATTGATTTTCGGATGTTAAACCACCCTTGTGTCCCTGGAATGAATCCTACTTGGTCGTGGTGAATTATCTTATGGATACATTGTTGGATTCTGATAGCTAAAATTTTATTGAGGATTTTTGCATCAGTGTTCATTAGGGAGAATGGCCTGTAGTTTTTCTTTTTTGTGTTGTCCTTGTTTGGTTTTGGTATTAGTGTAATGTTGGCTTCATAGAACGTGTTTGGTATTGTCCCTTCCTTCTCAATTTTTTGGAAGAGTTTGTGAAGGATAGGCACTAATTCGTCTCTGAATGTTTGGTAGAATTCATTTGTAAATCCATCAGGTCCTGGGCTTTTGTTTTTGGGGAGGTTTTTGATTACCATTTCAATTTTGCTGCTTGTAATTGGTCTGTTTAGGTGTTCTATTTCTTCTTTATCTAGCTTTGGGTGATTGTAGAGTTGTAGGAATTTGTCCATCTCCTCTAGATTGTTGAACTTGTTTCCAAAAGTTACCCATTTTTAAAAGAAAGATAGTTTCCTGGCGTTGTCTTTACCTGTAGAAGTAATTTATTAAGTGTGTATCATTATGTAAGAAACATGGAACAACATATTGGACACATCTTCAAAGCAGATTTACAATATGTGCAGAAATACTTCTTTTACCTTTTACTGGAGCATGATTTTAGTTGGTTCTACCAAAAGAGAAAGCCCATGAACCATATATGATGGTTAAGAGATTCATTTTAAAAGAGGGCCATCTTCCATATTTCTGTTTTTCCAGATGGAGGTAGTGTTTTGTTCTTACATGCAGCTGACAGGTAGTAGGGAGAATCTCTGACTGGCAATAAAGAGATGGTGACAGTACCTTCTGCTCAAAAATCTTATTCTGGAATCATTGTTTGCATAGTATATTGGTCCTTGGTCCAATGAGGCCAATAAGTCTCTCATGCCTGCTATTTACTTGTCAAGAATATATTATAGATTGTAATAGTATCTTTTGCCCTAAAATAATTTTGAATTAGAAAAATCAAGGTTTATGATTTTGTTTACTAACTTTTAATGGTATCCTCAGCTGTTGAATTACACATGTGCCTTAACTTTAGTAACGTGTATCCTTAGATCAGTTCATAGGAAATCATGTGAAAATGACTCATATCTTTTACTGACTTTGTTATTTATATTAACTTTAGTCTAAATAATTACTTCTTATATAAACATTGAACTATTTCAACCATGGAGATTTTTTTTTATGTTGTGTCTAGATACTGAATTTGTCATTGTTACTCCCCTTTTTGGCCATAATCTTAGTAAAGAATGTTTAAAGTCAGAAATCAAATGTTCAAGGACACAAGTCCTGGACATAGACCACATTGTAGTAACAGCCTTAGCAGAAGTTATGAACAATTGTGTTCTCAGGAGATTTCCTAGGTTCATTGAATCCACATTATGTGCACAGTACCTTTCTACTCTGTTTTCCTACATGAATTTAAATTAGTCATTAACTTTAAAAATAACAATGTGTTCTTGTAAGGAAATACTCTAGGTTTTTGTTGTTGTTTTTAGTTGATAAAGGGAAAGTTGGGAGGTTGGCTCTTACTATCACATTAAATTTGAGTTACTGAATATTGTGTATTTGATTATTAAAATCTTTTTATTTTCATGTGACCTTGCAGTATTTCATAAGCAAATACTGTATAAGTGATACAGAGTAACTCATAATTTTTTGCTAGTGGAGAAAGGGACTTTTTTCACAGAGTCTCTGAAATTGTGAACATTAAAAGAAAATAAAACAAACACACTGTAGCATGGCTCTTTCAAATCCCCTTGAAAACAGTTGTGGAGAATTTTTTTTTTTAAAGATTTATTTATTTATGCATATAAGAGCTTGGGTACAGCTGAGAGGTGTGGGGGTGTGGGTGGGTGAGAGGATTCACCAGAGACAGAGTGGGGAACAGAACAGGCAGACTGACTGAAATAAACTGCTGAGGGGAGCAGTGGGTGAGTCAGGAGAGGGCTGCTGTGCCATGTGGGTAGCTCCCTGACCAGCCAGGAGATCAAACTCTTGCTGCAGAGGTTGCGGACAGCTTCATAGATTGTGTCTATTGTTGTTATTTATATCAATTTATATTGTCGTTATTTATAATAACAACCCCTTGGGCCATCAGGGAGGCCCCAGTTGTGGAGTATTTTATCCTAATAGTGGAAAACAGTTTTTTTCTGTTCTGATTTTTGGTGACATTACAGAGTTGTTTCATTGTTCATAGCTTTTAAAATCTCAGAAATTATTGTTATAAGTTTTGGCCTGAAATATTAATGTAATTTTAGTTCTTTGAAAAAGTTGTTATACCTTCAAATTATTCTTTCACTTAACTAATTTATGGATGGGGCAGTAGGAATATTCTAACTTCACTAGTCCATAGTTAGCTATTATCCAAATTGCATAATTTTTGCTGACATGGTGTGCACAGAAAAACTATTAAATTTAATTTCTAGTAAATCTAGTTTTACATTTCATATCATGGAATTTGAAATTAAATCACAACCCGATAACTGAGTTGATTATAAGAAGCACTATAGGTGACTCTTCTGATGCCTCCTTAACCTGTATGTGAAACACCTTCATTTTTTAAAGTCTGTAGTTTTAACTAAGTGGCTTGGTGATTATCTCCCTTCTGAAGATTATTATATTCTTTCACTTTATTTTGTACCTTGAAGTTGACTATGTGGAGAAGTCCTGGAATCTGAATACAGAATACTGGAATCAGCAATAAAAATATTGTTGATAATTCATGCTCATTTCATTGTTGCCTTTTACAACAGAGAAATAAATTAGGAGTGCCATGTAGGTGTAAATATGTAGTCTTCTAAAATTTTATAATTATTATTAGATTGGTTTTCCAAGGATATTTTTTGAATTGTATACTCATTCTTTCATATTTTTTCCTGCTTAATTTTCTGTTAACAGCTAACAATGCAGTGGATTTTACAACAGTGAAATTCCTACTTCAAGATTCTAAAAGTTTGTTACATGCTTTCAGTACTAGGTCAAATTATGATGGTATTCTTCCACAGGCCTTTGCTCAAGTAAACAAACTACTTCAAACATTTACAGAGGTAAGATACCTTTGGAATGCCATTTAGAGTAGCAAATCATATACATTCTAAATGTGTATTTAGCAGACATAAGGTAAAGGATATTTTAATTCTAACTTATTCTAACTTACCAAATGCATTAAGTAAATATTAAATGAATTGAATGGAGAGTAAGTGGTTCTTATTACAAGTGACAAAACACACATTCCTTTATGGAAGCAGTGTCATAGCAGTAACTGGGATTTTATATTATTCATTTATAAAATAAAGGTATAGAAAAAAACTTAGCTTTGTTGTTTGACTAGTCATTTTTCAGTGCCCCAAATCAGGGTGTCACACCATGAATCAAAATGCTTAGGAAATATTTTCAAATGTGCAGATGCCAGATCCCTTTCAAACCTTATTATATCAGATTTATGGCAGTGGTGCCCAGTAATGTTATTGTTTCACTTTATATTTTGAAATAATTTCAATTGAAAGTTATTTTAAAATTTTCAAAAAAGGCACAAGAGTAGTACAAGGAATTCCAATTTGTATCTGGGAAATACCCAAAGTTCACATTTAATCATATTTGCTTTATTGTTTTCCCTGTCTACCTAACTGTCCATCTACCTATAACATCCACATTTTTTTCCCTGAACTATGTAAGACTATATATATTACAGATATGTTGCCCACTACCCTGAAATGATCCCATATATATTTCCTAAAATATAGGATATCTTATATAACTATTATAATTAATGTGGAAATTAAAATTGATATAATACAATTATTTAACCTTGCAGACCTTGTTTATACTTTACCAATTGACATATCAGGTCTCCTCATGTGATTTTTATGCAGTCATTCCAGTACTGCAGTACTAATGCCTCATTGTGCCTTTTATATTAACGATGGAAGTTTTATCTGTGGTTAATACTCGAATGAAAGGATAAAATTATATTAAACTTAGCTGTAGTTGATGAGGAAAGAATTATTTGCATAAGGGAGTATCTTGTGGAGTAAAAGTATCTTTTAATACAACTTATAGGAAATATTTGATGATTCTTGAAAAAGGATTATAAGGGGTGAAATGATTATAAGGGGTGAAATGTTATAAGGGGTGAAATTATCTTTTGTCTTAATATTGGTAGTTGTTTTTTCCTATGGCAAGTGTGACTTTTAGATCTATTGGCAGGAGAGAATGGGCTTAGGAATTTAGTCGATTGCATAATGGATATTGTACTTGAATCTCATGAGGAAAGATATATTATCCTTTCCATCACAGAACTGAGTCCTAAACAAATCTTTAGTGAAATAACACACTGAACAAAATGAAAAGTTTAGCGTTCTCACAGGTTTAGCAGTCTTTCAATAAAGATTGACGTAAAAAAATATGTGGGAGGGTTTGAGATAAGAGTAATAATGAATGTGGAGGGTTCGGATGTTTCATTAGTTGGAAACATTTAAATATAATGTTCTTTGTTGGATAATGGTCTGCCCGCTATATGTTGCCCACTGAATATTAAAAAATATTAAATTGTTATGTAGTAAATTATTGACTCCTGGATCGTAGTATTCTAGTTGATACATGAAAGAGATTCATGAAGACTAGGAAAGAATTTAGTATCTTCGGTAGTGCTTTTCTCTCAACACTTGCCATTATTGTGATTTCTTGAAACAACCTATGATATTTCCACAATTATAACTTTGAGATGTTGCTCCTTTATTTTCATGTAGAAATAATTCATTGTCTAAATCAGCCAAGAATGTTGAGAGTTAGCTTGGGCTTTTAAATACACTTTCAGTAGGAGTTGTTATCTTGATTGCATGAGATTTGATGTGAGACCTGAATATATAGGTCATATCTCAGTAACTTAAACAACAAAAAGAAATAGATTTTATCTCCAGAGATTGAGTATCTAAACACGCTAACTATTAAAAAAAAAAAAAAAATCCCCTTAATCTTAATTTACCAAGTCCAGAGAATCTGAAAAAGAGAGAGAATCATTTTTCCTTTGCTTCCAAAAAGGCTTTTGAGAAATCAACATGGAAAGATAACTAGCATTATCATTTTCCAGATTTTCATATAAATGTGGTAGGGATAGGAAAACTGTAATTTATGTTTTCCTTTTACAAGCCTTCCAATCACCAAAAATATAAAACTTATCCCTCCCTGCCAAGACTTTAGCATAATTAAAATCAGTTTTGTTAATAAATTTTAGATGTATGACCCTCAGGATCTCCATCCTGACTACTGTTTTTTTTCCTCTAGTTATTTAACCTTTTGAGTTTTTATTTTTAATTTTTGGTTTTATAAAATAAAAAAAATAAAATTTTAAATAATAGTTGTAAAGCACTTAGTCCTTAGCACATGGTAAGTACTATATAAATATTTGATAAAGAATTCCATTTACATAGCTGAGGAAAAGAGGTATTAAGGTAAATTCTAGTCTTCATTTCAAATGCATATGATGCTTTAAAAGCTTTCTCAGAATAGAATGTCTTTCTATCCTTGTGTATTTATTATGTTTATAATCAATATAAACTGGCAAAAACAGGAAGGATACTTAAAACACATTTTTCTAGATTTTATGAGTACCCTAAATTTCTGTTGTTTGTACTATATTATTTTCAGAGACATCTAGGTTAAAAAAATCTTGGGGTCTCCCTCACTCTCTGGATCTAGTCTTTGGTCAAGTCTTTTAAAATATTTCTTGTGTTCATTTTAATTTTTGTTTTTATTCAGCTGCCTTTAATAACCTAATTCAAGTTCTCAGGATTCCTCTCCTGGATTATGTCAGTGGTTTTCTAACCAGTCTTCTGTACAGTTTGTCTTTAAGCATGTCAGCACATAAGATACCTTTGTTGTGTCATGGTGCCCACAGCATAAAATTTAAATTCTATCCTGATCTTTTTTTCTTGGCAAACCTTTGCATATTTTTTTCTTTTTACTGAAATCTAAAGTGCTGGGAGACTCACCTGTACCAATTTATCATTGTATGTTAGGTAACTCCTGGATAGTTCAAAACCATATGTGTAGAAGTGTTCAAATAGTAGTCTTAAATGGACAGTAACCTGTCAGCTAAGAAAGGTCATTATAGTAAACAGATTGGAAATGTTTGATATAAATAGAAAAGAAAAATATTTTTTCTAGCTCTAACTTTTTTTCTGGGACTATTCTGTACATAATCAAGAATAGTCAGCACTTCCCAGAGAGGTAGAATGTTTGTAAGTGCAATTGACTTTGTTTCTCTCATTCTACTGGTTGCATTTTATGTAATTTTTTATCTCACCAGGTCAAGGCAAAACTTAAGCAAAATCCTTCAGGAAATATAGCTGGTAAAAAGCAAGAAGATACTTCTTCAATGAAGTCTAATAACCAAGAAATCACCATTTTCTCAGCTTCTCATCTCCCGCAGCCCAAGAGGCATCAAGAAATCTGGTCTATCCTAGAGAATGTTTGGAATACAATATATCAGAACAGGTACTCAGTTTCCCAGAATTTTTTAATTTTAGGGTTTCTCATTATTACTATCATTCATTGAATAGTTAATGTTTGGGTTGTGAGTTTAACATATCAGATTTTCTTATTGAAGACTTTTGTGAAATTGCTGCCTAGGAAACAATGATGCTTACATGGGGGAGCACATCAGAATTACTGGAGTATTCTACAAATATTTATGCTTAGGCTCTATCCCCAGCAATTCTGATTTACTTTGGCTGAGATAAAGCAGAGATAATGGTTTAAAATATATATCTCTTGTTGATTCAGATGTGAATCTTTTTTTAATATTTTATTTATGCATTTATGTATGTATGTATTTATATATTTTACATCATTGTTTATTTTTCTACAATGTATGCTTTCTCCTTTTAGGTGTATTCCCAATAAAATTCCCACCACCCATTCACCTGTGAACCATCACCATAGTCCCTTGTGCTTTTCCCTTCTGTTTTGATCCCTCTGCCTCCCCATCCCTTGCAGAATGTCTCTGATTTATAGTTGCCTGCCATTTTTTAAAATTTATTATAATTGTTATATTTTTATCCTGATCCCTTATTTGGTTCCCCTATATTCCTCCTCTAAGTGAAACCATCCAATATTTTTCTATTTCCTTCTGGCTTATTTCACTGAGCATTCTCCCTTCTAGCTCCATCCATGTTGTTGTGAATGGCATGAGTTTATCTTTTTTGATTGCTCAATAGTACTCGATGGTGTATGTATACCACATCTTCTTGATCCAGTCATATGTTTTTGGGTTGTTTCCATATCTTACCTATTGGAAACAGTGCTGCAATAAACATAGAGATGCAGCTATCCTTTTGAATTAATGTTTTTGTATCCTTTGTATAGATTCCTAGGATTGGAATTGCTGGGCTATGTGGTAGCTCCATTTTTAGTATTTTGAGGAACCTCCACATAGCTTTCCATAGTGGTTGGACCAGTTTGCTCTCCCCCCAGCAGTGTAGGAGAGTTCCTTTTCCTCCACATTCTTGCCAACATTTGTTGTCGCCTGTTTTTTTAATGTGTGCCATTCTCACTGGTGTAAGGTGGTATCTCATTTTGGTTTTGATTTACATTTCCCTGATTATAAGTGATGTTAAACATTTTTTCATAACCTCTTAGCCATTTGCGTTTCCTCTTTGGCGAATTATCTTTTCAGTGTCTTCTGCCCATTTTTTAAATGGATTGTTTACTTCATTTTGTTTAGTGTGACCTCTTTGTAGATCATTGTGATCAGTTTCTTATAAGTTGTATTGTGTGCAGAAATTTTCTCCCAATCAGTAGGGTATCTCTTTGTTTTGGTTAGTGTCTCTTTTGCTGTACAGAAACTTTTTAGGTTGATGTAATCCCAGTTGTATGTTTATCCGTCATGGTCTCTGCTTTGGGAGATGTGTCTTTAAAGAGGTTACTGAGAAGTATGCGTGTAGTATTTTGCTTATATTTTCTTCTATATATTTTGTGCTTTTAGATCTTATTTTCAATTCTTTTATCCATTTTAGTTGGTTTTTGTGCATGATGTGAGGTAGTAGTTTAGCTTCATTCTTTTGCATGTATCAATATAGTTTTCCCAGCACCATTTATTGAACAAACTGTCCTTGTTCCATTGCATATTCTTTGTTCCTTTGCCAAAGATTAGTTGTCTATAATTATGTGCATTTATTTCTGAGTTTTCTAGTCTATCTTATTGATCTATGTGTCTTTTGTTTTTGTTCCAGTACCATATTGTTTTAATTATTGCTATCAGTATAGTTTGTTTTAATTATTACTATCAGTATACTATGCAGTATAGTTTGAAATCAGGGTGTGTGATACCTCCATTCTCCTTTTTAGTCAGGAGAACTTTGGCTATTTGAGGTTTTTTTTTTTTTTTTAAGATAGAGACTATTTTTTCACGACTCTACCGATATACACTTTTTTTTTTTTTTAATAGAGGCATGTTTTTTAATTTATTTATTTGTTTGTTTGTTTGTTTGTTTTGTTTATACATGCACTGGGTACAGTCAGAAACACAGGAAGGTGAGAGAATTCACCAGAGCCAGAACAGGGAGCAGAGCAGGCAGAAGGACCGAAGTACACTGCTGAGGGGAGCAGCGGGCGGCAGGAGAGGTCTGCGCGCCATGTGGGACCCTCCTCCGGTGGCCGGGGAGCAGCTGGGGATTGAACCGGCGCCGCAGAGGCCGCGGGCAGCTTCGCAACCCAGCGCTCTACCGCTGCACCACCGGGGAGGCCCTATTTGAGGTTTTTTTGTGGCTCCATATGAATGTCAATATTCTATTTCATTGAAGAATGTCATTGAAATTTTTATCGGAATAGCATTGAATCTGTAAATTGCTTTTGGTAGGATGGCCTTTTTGATAATGTTAATTCTTTCTTTCCATGAGCAAGAGATATCCTTCCATTTCTTTGTGTCTTCTTCTTTGAACAATGTGTTATAGTTTTCTTTGTATAGGTCCTTCACCTCTTTTCTTAGGTTTGATCTCACATATTTGATTTTTTTTTCAATTATAAAAGGGATGGTTTTCTTAATTTCTTCTTCAGATTGATTGATTGCGTATAGAAAGGCTACTACTGATTTTCATGTGTTGATTTTGTATCCTACTGCTTTACAAAACTGGCCCATAAGTTTGATTAGTTTTTCTGTAGAGTTTTTAGGATCCTCTATATTATTATATCATCTGCAAATAGTGATAGTTTTACTTCTTCTTTCCCTTTTTGGATTACTTGTATCTTTCTTTTATTTTGCTCTTGCTAGGACTTCCAGTATTATATTGAAAAGAAGTGGTGAGAGTGGACATCCTTGCCTTGTTCCAGATCTTAAGGGAAAGACTTTCAGCTTTTCACTGTTGAGGATAATATTGGCTGTAGGTTTGTCATACATGGCTTTTATCAGGTTAAGGTGTTTTCCTTTTATCCCAAGAATTTCAAGGGCCTTCATCCTAAAAAAGATGTTGAACTTTTTTTGAATGCTTTCTCAGCATCTATTGACATGATCATATGGTTTTTATTTTACTTTTTGTTGATATGTTGGATTACATTAATTGATTTTCAGATGTTAAACCATCCTTGTGTCCCTGGAATAAATCCTGCATGTTCATGGTGTATTATCTTTTTGATGCATTGTTGGATTCTGTTGGCTAGGATTTTGTTGAGCATTTTTTTGTTTTAAAGATTTATTTATTTATAGGGCCTCCCCTGGTGGCGCAGGCGGTTGAGCGCCGTGCTGTGAAGCTGTCCACAGTCTCTGCAGTGCGGGTTGGATCCCAACCAGCTGTAGAGATACCCACATGGCGTGGCAGACCTCTCCTGTCTCTCCCACTGTTCCCCCAGCAGTGTATTTCGTCAGTCTGCCTGTTCTGTTCCCCACTCTGTCTCTGGTGAATTCTCTCACCATCCCGCGCATCTGGCCTGTAGCCCGGTTCTTGTATAAATAAATATATATTTTTTTTTAAAGATTTTTTTTAAAGATTTATTTATTTATGCATATAAGAACTGGGGTACAAGCCAGAGGTGTGGGGGGGTGAGAGGATTCACCAGAGACAGACTGAAATACACTAACAAGGGGAGCAGCGAGGTAGTCAGGAGAGGTTGCTGCACCATGTGGGTCAGCTCCCTGGCCAGGGATCGAACTTGTGCTACAGTGGCTGTTGATAGCTTCATAGGTTGCATCTTAACCCCTTGTGCCACCAGGGAGGCCCCCTAAGTCTTTCTTCTTAAAGGTCAAAGGAAAGTATTTTTGGGAAGTTTGTACTAAAAGCAGCTCAACAGAGAAGTACACCCCATTCTGCCTGCAAGCATCTTTTTGCCAGGCAGAGATATTCTTCTATGGTCATATTTTTGGATTCTGGAGGTTGACTTACTTTCTGTGGTATATTTTTCCCAAAAGGACCTTTTGATCACTGTATTTTTCTTTGTTTCTATTGTTTGCCTTTGGCTTTGCTCTATTCGTAGTGCCCCATTACCATTGGTACTGGTGGGCATGACTTCTGATTTCTCTTGCTGAGGCATGGATGTGTATGCCTGGTATCTGAGCTGCTGTGGCAAATCATGCATCTGACAGTAGTCTAGTATCCAGAATCTACTGTCAACTCAGAACTTAGCAACAAAAGGTCAACCTGATTTAAAAGAAAGAAAGAAATAAGCAAAGGACTTGAATAGTCCTTTGGAAAATCATCTCTCCAAAGAAGATTACATGTGGCCAACAGGCACAGGAAAAATTGTTCCATGCCATTTGTTATTAGGGAAATGAAAATCAAAACCATAATCAGATGCCTCTTCATATTCACTATTGATGGTCATAAAAAAAAAAATAGAGAAAATCACAGATGTTGGTGACAATGTGGAGAAACTGGAACTTTCATACATTCCTTCTAAGAATGTAAAATTGAGCTGCCACAATGGAAAATAGTGTCATTGTTCCTCAGTAAGCTAAACATTAAACATGTAATCACTATGTGACTCAACAATTCCACTCTTAGATATACATGTGTTAAAAGAAAAACTTGCAAATGAATGTTATTATTACAGTTAGTATTACAGTTATATTATGTTAATATTACAGTATTTACAATACTGTAAGTAGAAGCAATCCAATGTCCATCAACAGATAACTGTATAAATGAAATATATAACCACAAAAAAAAGTTCACAAAATGGAATATTCCATTCATAAACTGGAATTTTTCAATTATAAGAAGGACTGAAGTATCAACATGCTACAGTATGGATGAATTTTGAAAACATACTAAATCAGAGAATCTAGACACAAAGGTTACATGTTATAATTCCATTTATTTGAATGTCCACAATAGGCAAATCTATAAAGACTGAAAGATCAGTGATTACCAGAAACTGAGGTAATGAAGGATTGGTGAGTGACTCCTTAACGGAGACAGGATTTCCTTTTGGAGGGATGAAAATGTTCTGAAACTAGATAGTGGTAACAGTTGCACAAACTTGTAAATAGACTAAATCCTACATTTTAAAATGGTTAAAATAGTGAATTTCATGTTCGATATATTTTACCACAATTACAAAATGCTTTGGAAAGTATTATAAAATAGGGGAGAGAATTCACTTGAATGCTGTTTTCTGAAGCTAACCATACATAACCAAAACTAACATAGTTAACATATTTATATTCATCTTTGTATTTTACCACAATTACAAAATGCTTTGGAACGTATTATAAAATAGGGGAGAGAATTCACTTGAATGCTGTTTTCTGAAGCTAACCATACATAACCAAAACTAACATAGTTAACATATTTATATTCATCTTTGTATTTGGGCAGATACCTTAGTTTCTTAAGATTGCCATAACAAATTACAACAAATTAGGTGTTTTAAAATAAGGGAAATTTATTCACTCCTAGTTCTGGAGGCTGGAAATCTGAATGGTGTCTGCAAGTTTGCTTCCTTTTGGAAATTCTGAGAGTCTATTCTGGTACTCTCTCTAAGCTTCTAATAGTTGCCAGCAAATCCCAAGATGTGTCGCTCCAATCTCTGCCTCTGTCCTCACATAGGGTGATGCCCACCTAGTACATATGGCCTCATTTTAACTGGGTTAATTATAGTAGCCAAAGACCACTTTTTCAAATAGGTCTCATTCTGAAGTTCTGGGTGAACATGAATTTTAGAAGATGACTAAAAATACTTGGTTTTATGTTATGTAAGTAAATTTTGCATACCGTTTTTTATTTCATAGATGGCATAAGCATCATTTGAATAGTTGTTTGGTATTTCATCAAGTGACTTAATTCACAGTTAATGCTTTTTATATTGTTGAATATTTTGGTGGCTACTGATTATTTCCATATTGTGAATAATTATTAATTTGATACAGATTTCTAAAATTAGAATTAATAAAGTATGTGAGTATTACAGCTTCCATTTTCAGTAAACAATCTGATGTCTAATTCTTTATATTTATGTACGGAGTACTGTCTATACCTATATTTGAATGCAGATTGATAATATTACTTCTCTTCCTTCATGGTCTCTCAGAATGAAATATCATTCACACCACTTGCAGTGTTATTTTAGAGTAGACCTGTGTAGTTTTTTACGTAGATCCTTTGTGTGAATGGCAACCTGGATGTTCACAACTCACTGTCCTTTATTTCTAGCTTATGAGATATGAATTAAAATTACTGCTTTATTTTATCCACCAGAAATGGAAATACTTGAATTACAATAAGTACAAATTGTAATTTATGAGTGTATCTTTCCTTTTTCTCTACTTAGCACGGATGTCTTTCAAAGATTGGGCTCAAATTCAGCTCTTACTTTTTCAAAAATAGCCTCATTTGAAGAAGCATTTATATATCTTCAAAAACTAATGGCAGCTGTGAAGGATATTCTTGAAGGAATTCAGAGGTAAGCACAAATTAATTTTTAAGGTCTCATTTATTTTCTCTTCTGGGGTTATCGAGGTTTTTCAGAGTTGCTGGGAGGCTTCCAGCAAGTGTTATAAACTAATGGGTTTTAGATTGAATTCTTTTTTTTTTTTTTTAGATTTATTTATTTATTTATACAAGCACTGGGTACAGTCAGAAGCGCGGGAGGGTGAGAGAATTCACCAGAGCCAGAGTGGGGAACAGAACAGGCAGACTGACGAAGAAGTACACTGCTGAGGGGAGCAGCGGGCGGCAGGAGAGGTCTGCACGCCATGTGGGACTCTCGCCAGCGGCCAGGGATCGAACCAGTGCTGCAAAGGCTGTGGGCAGCTTCGCAGCCCAGCGCTCAACTGCTGCGCACCAGGGGAGGCCCTTAGATTGAATTCTTCCCCCTCTCTTACAAAAAAAAAAAATCCTTTTCTAGTTTTGGTCCACAAAATATTTCCAGTTTTTAGAAGACAGTATACCAGATTGTAAGCTTTATGAGGAACTTTATTTTCTTTATAGTGTCACTGTATTACCTTGAACAGTGTCTGCCTGACACATAGTCGACATTCAGGGATTACTGTTGAATATGTTAAGCTGTCACTGTCTTTTTAAAACAAAGTAATGTTAATATTGTTAATGTCATTGAGTTGTTCCAATACAGTTTTCCAGCACTGCAAACATAAAAGTTTAAGAAGCTATAGTGTTAATGCTTGGAGACTTACACATACTTGATTATTTTAAGTATTTGTAAAACACAGAACAAACATGCCCCAGAATGCTATAGAATGGACTGTATAACATGCTTATTGCATGAAGTCACATGTTTCTTCTTGTGGCATGTGAAAGGGGCTAATTCTAAACTTAATCTTACCTTTTTTTGTCTTTAAACCAGAATTGCTAGTCAAGTACCTTGATAATAGAATACTGTTCTTTATCAATCAAAACACTACAACAAAATTGATTTGATGTTAGTATGTCCAAGTTTGCGGAACTTGGATTTTCAAAACAACAGTATAGTTTTTTTATCCTTTTTTTCTTTAAGGGTTTTGGAAATAACCTTATTGTTAATGCACAAAGCTTTTGTACCTCTTGTTGGATCATCATCAGCTAAATGATTCCTAGAGCCAAAAATTACCAAACTGTTAGCCACCCTTAAGTTATAATGAATTGAAGAGGTGACTGATTCTAGGGCAAGTTAAATGTTATCTCTAAATGCAAAAGTCCAAACCCTCTCCCCTTAATTTTTATTTATGGCATTATTAAATAAGAATAGCTCTAAGAAGGAGAAATACTCAATTATGAATTTTAACTATGTAAAAAGTGTTGCACTCTAGGTTGCTTTAAAGCCATGTTTGACAATACCCCTTTGACAGAAAGTAAGGATATCGATCTGTATTCAGTCACTCAGCAAACACTGAGCATCATACTAGGCTCTGGGAAATCAAAGGTAAATAAGATGCAGCCCCTGACTCCAAAAAGCTCTAGAAAGAGTGTAAACGGTCATGTTAAGCAGACAACTATGATAAAGGTACTAATATCTTAAGAGGGACATATACAGTATAGGCAGGGGGTATTTGACACAAAATGAGGCTGGATTCAGGTTGAAAGGAAATATAAACTACACAAAGCAATTTCCACTTTATTCAATAGGCTAGTATCTCACATATTCAGAACCATTAATTATGAGCTCTGATACGAGCATTTCTGGTCCAGTACTGCATATTATACCGCCCTTTTAGAAGATCACTGTATATCATTAGCATATTAATGGACTTCATATAAGCTTTTGCTATAGAGAAACCTTTTTAAATTAAATTTAGGAGTTTTAAACTTACTGATATCAGTGTCCTCTGCCCCCGAGATTCTGATGTAATTGGTGTGAAAGAATGCCTAATATCAGGATTTTGAAACTTTCTCAGAAAATTATAATGTAGAGGCAAGGAGGAGAACCACCAGCCAATATGCTGAGCCAGTGCTTCTCAAAGTATGGTCACAGAACCAGCATCGTCATCACCACTTAGACCTTGTTAAAAATGCAGATTATTAATCCCACTGAATCCAAAACTCCGCCGTTATGGGCCGGCAGTCTGTGCTCGCCAGGTGAACTGTGAGCGGTAAAGGTGAGCATCACTGACTTAAGTGGTTCTCAGCTCTGGTGGCCAATTATAACCATCATCTGGGAGCTTTAACTAGAGAACAGTCGCTGACCTGGGCCTTATCCCAAACCTATGAAATCTCAATTTCTGAGAGCGAGTCCTGGACATACCCATCTTTACAAACTCCCCCCGTGATTCTCATGTGAACCAGGGTTGAGAAGGTTTAGCACACTCTGCTCACATAAGCTGAATCTAGAAATAAGTACTTGAATTTTAAGGCTGATCCAATTTTCTTATTTTTGTCTGTGAGGACATATAACTCCAGAAGATATTAAGCACTCTGCCACTTTTTAGCGTGTGAACTGGGATGAATTGTCTTTGAGCCTCAGTCTTCATCTGTGAAACAAACAATACCTTCCCAGAGCAATTCCCAAAGTTAATGTGCTTTCAAAGTCAGCTGTTAGTATTGCTAACCAAACTGGTCATTCTCAAATAAGTTCTACTAAGTTGTTGGGGAATGTGTTGGGGAATGTGATCTCAGACTTAACCAAAATCACAATATCTGTAGATATTTTATAGAACAGGGAAGTTATATTTTTAACAAACTTTCCAGAGGATTTGGATGCAGGCGTTGAGGGACATATTTGAGCAAATCTAACCTCCTTGCTAGTTCAAGAACTTGAACTACCAGTAGAGGGCAATGTGAATAAAAAGTTTGTTCATTTCCACATTCTCTAACCAACAGGAAACTACTAAAATTGCAACATGATTTGTTTGTCCTTCACACAATAGGCATTTAAGTCAAAATGTAATCAAAGTTAATAATTACATTGTGTTGTCAGGTGTACATGTGGTCTTAAAATCCTTTAAGAGAATCTTATTAAATTGAAGTAAGTTGAATTAAATTATTTTTGACTGGGTGGGTGGGATTTTAAATATTTAAACTTTGAAAAATGCACTCAACTTTGCAGTTGTCTAAGCTATGGTGTAAGTGCTGTCTAAGCCACAGTTTCTTTCCTTATTAAATGAGAAACATGATGCTTTTTTCAGAGGAATAAGTCAGATGGTGTTTGTGAAAATACCTTTTAAACTTTTGACATATTTGTGTGTTGGTCTTTTTTTCTCCTTCAAGCTGATACATTAAATTTGAAGTGTTTAAAAATGTGAACTCTATTAAGACTAAACGTCATTGTGGTTAGTTCAGATGAAAAATATTGGTACTGTTGTCTGTTGTCCATATAGTTATTAATTGGAGCAAAATTTCTAACTTTGCAAAAGTTTAAAAAAAGGTTAGGAATATCACTATGTTCATATGCTCTGTCCACTTCCTTTTTGGGTGAGAGAGGGAATTTTTTTTTTTTTTTTTAAGATTTATTTATTTATGCATACAAGAGCTGGGGCATAGGCCAGAGGTGTGAGGGTGAGAGGATTCACCAGAGACAGAGTGGGAAACAGAACAGGCAGACTGAGCGGACGAGACAGGAGAGGTCTGCTGCGCCATGTGGGTTGTTCTTTGGCCGGTTGGGGGATCAAACTCGTGCTGCAGAGGCTGAGGACAGCTTCACAGGTTGTGTCTTAACCCCTTGTGCCCTGAGAGAGGGATTTAATTGGCTTATTTGTTTTTGGTTTAGGAATTACCTCTCTCCATCTCATCTCTCCTTTTATTATAGGGTTAAATTGAACACTTTTGTTGATGGTTTCCTTATCTTAACACTGGAGAACCAGAGACAATACTCCACAGTAGACACAACATATGTTAAGGCTTTTTTTTTTCAGGTCACTGCTGTTTAGTCTCATTTTATACTTTGGTAACTTTTATTTAGCTTGATCTGATTACTCTCAGGATCACAAAAACCTTTCTCTTAGTATATAAAGATGATGAGTTGAGTTGAAAACTAAAGTAAGGAAAGCTCTATTTGTATGTTAATCAAAAACCACAGATGTCTACTTGTGTTCTGGACTTAGCTGGCATCTCTACAGAGGTCAATGTGATCTAACTCAGGCATGCTGTAAATGTGTGAAACTTTAACTTGAAAGCTAATGCTGAAAACAAAGCACTTTAAGTATGTTTTTGTGTCTTTGAAGTGGATGATGGCTGCCTGGTTTAGCAGCCGAGGAGGGCACAGGGTGGGAAATTACAGTCTGCCTAGATTCTATAATCATAGTTATGTGTTTCATCTTTACGGAATAAAGTTGAAATAATATTTAAAACATTTTTTAATCCAAGTTATATAACTGAATCATGCCTAAGTATATATAGTCATTTTATCACTTGGTTTAGCATGCATCTGTGTCAATTCCATGACCTCGAGCTTTGGATAAAGTATTTGAAATCATGAATGCTTTCTCAGTGTCATAATTTGAATCATGTGGGGGTTGGGAGAAGGAATTGCTAAACCTTACAAATAACACATTTCCTTAATGGGAGGGGGAATGCTTTTATATGACAAGATATTTCTTATGTATAGATAACCTGCTTTTTCCTTGCTGTCACATTGGCTTGGCTGTATTTAAATGCAGCAATAAATGAGTGCTAAGTGGAACAGTTGGACATGACCATATTCTATGTAGCATTGTGCCCAATCATCAGATATGATTTTGGAAAATGAGACTTCTGCTTGGATTTAGGAAAGTACTTCAATAATGCTCAGGACTAGTAACCTCTGTTACATTGGTATGGCTTTGGTTTGAAATACATTATAGAGCTGCTGTTCTACAACACAATTATAGTCAGCTTGAGATTTTTTTGTATGTTGTTTACATGTACTTTTATTAAGCTCTAAAAAATGAAATTTCTTATTAGTCTTTTACTCCATTTAAATATAAGAGCAAAATATATACTGCTAAGATCTTACATGACTCCTGGAAAAAGGAATTCTGCAGTCACAGCTTTTTA